CACCTGCCGCAGCTTCAGCTGGGTTCGCAGAGGTTTGAAAAGTGCGACTCCTCACGTTTCAGAAATTTAAAGCAAAGGAAGACGAGAAGACCATTTTCATTCCTAGGCTCCTTATCTGTAATAAGAAGAGAGATTCAAGTGTGGCCCTGATTCTGAGACTGCCTTGGATTTGTGTTTGTTTTTGTGATTCTAGGGACTGAATCCAGGGCCTTCGCACTGAGCTGCACCCTCAACCCTTTTTCTTCCTTATTTCTGAAGCAGGGTCTCACTAGGTCAGGAAGGTGCCCAGGCTGGGATTGAGTTTGCAGTCCTCCTGCCTCAGCCCCGCCGAGTGCTGGGATGACAGGTGTGCACCCTCCCGCTGGGCTACTGGTTCATTTCTTCATTCGCTCTGCACACCAGTGCCCCTACCAGGTTCCAGGTACTGAGCCAAAGTGGCATAGACGGCTGCAGCCTGGTTTCTGTGGCTGGACCCACCCACCGGTACTACAGGAGTGGCAGGGAGAGCCCGGGCTCTGAGAGCACAGGGACACAGGACAAGGGCCATCGAGGCTGTGAGAGGAGCCGAGGGCTGGCTGCACCCTGGACCCTGCAGTCCGAGGCCCTGGAGCGCAGGAGGCTGGGCAGCCTGGGGAGCCCCAGGGGGTGGAGACCCCAGTGTGCTGATGCCTGGGGTCCAGGGCCAACACCAGTGGATTCCCAGCCAGGGCTTGGCCTCTCCCACCTCACTTCCTACCCAGGAGGGCGGCTCTGAACCTTTCTGTCTGTGACGCACCAGGAGCCCCGGGCCGATTCCCCCGGGAAACATGGATGCGTCCAAGGACCCCAGGAGAGGCTGGGAAGGGCCCAGAGCACGGCAGGAAGAGAGCCGAACAGCAGGGCCTGCAGTCCTCAGGCACGGGGACTCCAGACCCCCACTCCCCGGAGGCCCCTCCTCGGCACACCTGAGGGGAAAATCAGCCCCCTTCACCCTGCCCCTATCCTTTTGCCCTTGAAATGGAAGCCTTGTCGGGAATCGAGTACAGGAAAATAATAAAGTACTCATTCCAATCTACAATAGAAGAGGGAGGGAAAACCAGGCCCTGCTGTGCGGGTGAGAACTGCTTTGCCCGCGGAGGGTTAGAAGGTGCCACATTTCTCAGGATCTCTCCATCTGCCTCCCGTTAAAAGCAGCATCTGGGGAGCCCAGGCGCTCAGGGAGCAGGGGGCGCGAACCTGCGTGCAGGCAGCTCTCCTCAGAGGCAGGCCAGGCTGCACCGCGCGGGGTGGGGAGCCTCACCCTGGGCCAAGGACGCCGTCCTCTGTCACCATCGTCCTCTCTCCTCTCCCTGCGCGAACCAGTAACGACTGTGGGAATCTGCCGGCCTGGCCGCCTCTCCCAGCCTCCTCTCTGCCAGACCCACCCTCCAGCCAGCGGCCCAGCCCTGGAGGCCTTGAACTTCCACACCCGGAGCAGTCCTCAGACCCGGCCACTTCAGCACCGGGGCGCAGGCCTGAGACTGCACGGCCATTTCAGGACTGCGCCTGCCCAAGACTGAAGAGGACCTGAGACGTTTCCGGATTTGGAGAAACGGCAGCCTCTTCACAAAGTCAGTGGCTGTGCGGGGAGGTGGGAAACAGGGCCTCTTGCCTCTGCAGGACACGGACTCAGGGCCAAGAGCCTGGCGTGTACTCGCTCCGTGTGATACAGGCCGTGTACTCGGCCTCCGAGGCCTGGAGAGCGGGCGCTGGATGGACAGGCGCATCCACGGCTGTCAGGTAGATGTTCGTGTCCTTGGAGCAGAACATCTGGCTCATAGGGCACCTCTGTGTGGCCTCTCAAGGGACTGCTAAGCATTCTCCAGAGCTGCTGTGTTGGTCACATTCTCACCAGCAACAGCGAGGGTTCCGACTGCTCCCCATTGCCACCAGCACTGCTATGACCCGCCTTTCTTATTAGAGTGGGTGTCAGGGTCTCACCTCTGCTCTCAGGGGGAGCTCGGTCTGGTCTCTCACCATTACATACGTGTGACTCAAGCCCTGGGTGACACAGGTCCTTGGTTTCCTGCCCACCTGTGGCCCCAACTCTAAGGTGCCAGGCGCCACCTGAGTATCACATAGAGTCCAGCTGAGTTTTAAGCTGTCTCCCCTGCAAGCTTAGGATTCCACTTTCCAGAATAAAATCATACTAACCCTAACTACGACAATGAGAGCCGCAGGAATGTTTAACTGATGGTGGCAGATCAAGTGCACTCTCCCTCTCCGCCTTGAGATCTGTGTAAGATCCACAGTAAGTAAGTCATCCCAGAGACCACAGCTGAGGAACTGGACGGCTTCCATCCGAAGACCAGAATCTTCAGTTTGCTGCAGAAGACAGAGTGATTGAAGGATTTCTGGTGAAGGTGCTTATCAAACGCAATCATCTGCTTTGACTAAAACATATTCTTTCAAAGGCATAAACCACGAGGGCAGGGGTCATGTACTCCAGACAACCTCACTGCACTGGCCACTGTGTCTGCTGGGCTCCGCAGACCTTGCTCAGCCGTGCACCTGCAGCTGGGTGGCTTCCGGTCCTGGTGAACCTCCTGTCCAGGGCAGGGGCACAGGAGCAGCTCCGTGGCCCATCCCGTGCCTGGCTCTGGTCCTGAGGCTCCTCAGGGAAGCAAAGAGCCTAGAGAGCCCTGAAGTCTCTTGGTCAGTTGGGGTAGTAACATTTACACCGTCTCCTTCAAGGGTCTGCTTTCTGGACTAACCTGAGAACAGAACTAGGTATACCCCTGTCTTACTCAACTTTCCTTGCCACGAGGACAAAATACCTGACACTTGGGACTAAAAGGAGAGGCTTCAAACCATAGCTGCTGGCCCCAAGGCAGGACGGCATGGCAGGGGCCCGGAGGAGAGCTGCTCAAGGCGTGGGGACCGGAAGCAGAGGGGGAAGGGGGAACTGAGGAGGGGGAGGACCGTGGCCAGGCCACGCCCCGTTGCCCCTCCCCCCCGTCCCGCCCCACCTCCCAACTGCACGCTCGGCTGTAAGCGCAGAGGTGGACTGGTCTACCTGTCGGTGCCACCCCCCCAGGATCCCGTCACCTCCCCAAAGCCCCGCCCACGGTCACGTGAGGCTCAGGGGACCTCGGATGCAGAACGCAACCAATCTAGAAACAGACTGAATCAGGCCGTCTTCCTTTCACACTCAGATACCAGTGGCCTGCGGGGAGCATCTCCCCAGATACGGCGGGGCCTCGGACACCCGCCCCAGCCTTCCCTCAGCCCCTCCTGGGGGGCGCCACTCCTCACAGTTCCCCTCCACCGGGGGACAGGTCAGCCCCAGAGCTGGCGACCGACAGGGACGTGGCGCGCCGTGGTAGAAAATGGGGCGCTGCTGTCTTCCTGCTGCCGCCAACAGGTATGAGTGTGTCACTGTTCTGGCGGCCAGGAGGACAGGTTCGGCGAGTGGGCAGGGCAGGGCCTCCATGCCCGGATGCTGCCATGCTGCGCGCCCTCAGGAGTCAGAGGCGGGCTGTGTCCCCCGGGCAGGACAGCAGACCACACGCCTCGCCCCCGGTCACCTCCTGTCCTCTCCCTGGCAGCTAAGTGTCCACACAGGGACTTGGGGGGACGCATTCAGACCACAGCGCTCCCCGATGGGGCGACCCCTTCTCTAGTGTCGCACTCAATGGTGTCCCCGGCCCAGCAACCGGCAAGTAGGGCGCTCACGCTGCTGTGAAAGACCTTGCCCAGCCCTGGGGTGGACAGGGCGGCGAGGCAGAAGTGGGGCTCGGGCACCAGCACCCCGTCTGGGCCTCGCTGTCCTCTGCCCGCGTGCTCCAGTGGGTCTCTCCTCGCCCTCTGTGTCCCGACGCCCCTGCAGGTGTCAGAAGCTGAATGGTGGAGGGCGGAAGAGGCCACAACCCGGCGCCAGAGCCTGAGTGTTACTAGCTTCAGGGATTCACAGGTGTGCTCGGTTCACATTAAACACGAAGACTCCCGGTGGCAGAAGGCATGGGTCCCTGTGCAAGGGGGCAGGGGAGTGTGTGCGCGCACACGTATACACACGGGCACACGTGCGTGCACACCCACACATCTGCACGCGCATACATACGTCCACACACACGTGCACGCACCCCGGCATACATGTCCACGCGCACACACGATGCATGCGCACGCGGGCACACACACACGTGCACACATACAGGCACGCACACACGCAGATCCACACACATCCACAGGCACGCACGCACATGCACACATCTACACACACGCACCCCCCACGTACAGGTCCACGTCCGCGAGCACACGCACGGGCTTGCGGCACAGCCACTGGGGCACAGGGACCCCCCCAACCCCCGATAGTGGCCGCCGCCCAGCCCTGGGGGCGTGGCCGGGCGGGCGTGGGCGGAGCTCAGTCGCCGGGTCCCCAGCCCCAGCCCCACCGCAGACTGCAGCCTCGGCTCCAGGTCCGAGCAGTGCGGTGCGGCTGCCCTCGAGGTCGCGCGTCCAGGTCGGGCGGCGCCGGCTGCGCGGCCGCGGGGACCCTGGGGAGAGGGGCGGCGACTGGCCAGGGCCCGGGCTCCCAGGCCGCGCTGCCTGCGGTGGTCCCCGCGGTCCGCGCCGGCGTTGCTGGGGCCCGAGGCGGCGGGCTCGGGAGAGAGGGTGCGGGCGCCGCTCTCTTCGTCTGCTCTGCCCCCGGGGCGCAGGCGGGGGTGGCCGGTGACAGCGGGGCGGTGGAGGGGACCGAGGGCGCCGCACGTCGTCGTCGGGACCTGGTGAGACCTTCCCGCCTCGGCCTCCCGGGCGGCGCGCCCCGCCCTGCCCTGCGCTCCATCACCTGGTACCCGCGCCTTCCCTGCCCTTCATTGTCCCTGTCCCTTCCCCTGCCCTTGCCATCCCCGCCAGTCACCTTGCTCCGCGCTTCTCCGCCGCACCTCGGGCTGTCGCGCCCCCGGAGGAGGACCTGGGGCCGAGGCACCCTCGCAGCCGGAGCCGGGCTCCGCAGAGGCGCAGGTCTGTGTCCGCCTCTCCCCTCCCTGCGGCGGGACTCCCGGGAGCCGGGGAGCGGCGGTTCTCGGCTCCTCAGCGGGGCGCAGGGCCGTCGGCTTCCGGGACGGCCGGGTCCACCCTGGTTCCGCCTGGGCCCTCCGCTGCTGGCCTGGGCCGGTCCCGCCCGGACCCTTCCCTGGCCCAGGCCTCCCGCCTGCCTGGGCTGCTCAGCCTCGCTGCCCTTGGGTCCACAGGCCGGGAGGTGAACATCGCCCCGCGGGTGACAGTGCAGAGCCCTGTGAGGGAGGCAGGAGGTGCCCAGGACAAGGGAGGGGCACCTGCTGCCGACTGTCAGGGCCTGGAGCCTTCCGGCAGGCTCTGCAGGAACCTTCTCTGGTGGCACTGGGACTCGAACCCCGGCCTGTGCATGTCAGGCAAGCCCCTACCCCTGAGCTATCCCCCAGCCAGGCCCCGGGACCCTGGTGCCAACAGAAAGGGCAAGAACCCGTGGCCAGGAACCTCAGCCCAGGTGGCTCAGGTGCTCGGACCTGTGCTTGGTGCTTAGAGCTGGACTCGCACTGCATCCTTCAGGGCAGTGTCCTCCGGGTTTTCAGAGCCTGCAGAGCATCCAGCTCAGGTAGATGCGGTCCCCAGGCCAGAGGTGAGGGACTGAGCCTGCGCTCCCACAGGTGGGTGAGGGGAGTCCGAAAGCCCGCGTCCCGGGTGGGGGCAGAGACCGGGGTTTGATCTTCAAACCCTTCTGTGCAGCTGTCCCTCCGCCTGGCCTCTGAGCCAGACAGCGCCGTGCGGCAGGGAGCACGTCCCGGGAGCGAGAGGAGAGGCAGACAGAGCGGGGCTGCTGCCCGGGGAAGGGAGACCAGAGAGGGCCAGGCTGTCACCACGGACTGGCTTCAAAGAGCCTCAGCCCGGTCTGCCAACTGGGGAGCCACACAGGCCAGCTGTGAGGGGCAGATCCCCTCCATGGAAGCTGCTCGCTGGGGTAAGGGGCCCTAGGACAAAGGATGCAGAAGCCTGTGTGAAAATAAGGTGAATTTTTACATTTAAAAATCTATCACAGGAGAAGGCATGTTACCACGAATCTCCTCAGTCCCTCCCGGGCTTCGCACACACTCAACCCACCAGTCTTGCCACTTCCTGCAGCAGCTCTAGAGTCCTCTTTCCTGGGTGTCTTTAGCTGCACTGTCCTGGCTGCCTCAGAGTCTAGATTCCATTAAAAACATTTCCCTTCCATGGTCATTTTGACTTTGGGGAGGAGCCAGAAGTCCCGGGAGCAGACCCGGTGAATTCGATGGGTGAGGACACAGCGTCATGTTTTCATGAGCTGCCTCCTTCCGCTGCAGGGTGCTTGGCAGCAGCAGTCACTATAATTTTGACCAGACCTCATGAAGACACCCAGGAACTAGCACTCCAGAGCTGCTGCAGAAAGTGGAAGAAGCACAGGATCAGTGTGTCGGAGGCGAGGGGTGGGCCTTGGGGGATTCGTGGCCCGGTCTTTCACTGGATTTTGTTTATAAACACATGCTGTACTCCTCACTCTCCCTGTACTTGGCCCTGCAGCGCAGGCCCAGTGGGTGGCCGTGTAGATGCCCAGCCGTCTGCCCGGGCTCCTTGTGCAGACGTGAGGCTGCAGCCCTGCAGGTGCCAGGGCAGACTCCATCCGGCAGAGCCACGCGCGCGCGCACACACACACACACACACATACTCGGGCACACACAAGCGCACAGGCTGCTACCTGCAGGAACTGCCCCAGGCACTTTTACAAACTCGAGATGGGTGAGTCCTGACAAACCGGGCAGATGCAGCAGGGATTTCCCAGCAAGGAATTTAGAAACCTGACCCCCGAGTGGGAGCGAACTGGTGACAACCCTTGGTGGTTAGCGACTCTACGAAGCTTCCATTTCCTTCTCTAGGAACCAGCAGAAACCCATCCAAGGACAGAAGAGGTGAAGCGTGGGCCGGGAAGAGTGACCCAGGTAACCTTCTGCTTCCACCTGGTGGCTGCAAGGGTGAACATGTGACAGTTTGAAATCCATCACTTACCAGTGGGTTGTTGCTGTTGCTGCTATTATTATTATTATTATTATTATTATTATTATTATTATTATTATTTGGTACTGGGACTTGGATCCAGGGCCTTTGCACTGAGCTACATCCAGAATCCCCCACCTTTTTTTGAGACAGGGTTTTGCTAAATTGCTAAATTGCTTGCCCAGGCTGGGCTTGAACCTGCAATCCTCCTGCCTCAGCCTCCCAGGGTACTGGACTTACAGGTGTGCCACCAAGCCCAGTTTGAACCCAGGGAGCACTGAGGTGCATTCTCAGCCCTTTTATTTCACAATTCTGAGACAGGGTCTCACGATGTTGCCCAGACTGGCCTCAACTTGCGATCCTCCCGCCTTAGTCACACAGGCAGCCGGGATCACAGGCGTGCACCACACCCCAGCCTTGGCAGGGGTCCGTCTGGTAGGAGCCCGACTCTGAGACGAGGTGCTTTTGACTTCTTTCCCTACTTCCCTTCTCCGCAGGCCTCCCCGCACTGCCCTTCGCCCGGTCCCAGCACTGCCTTTCTGCGCCCTTGCTTTCCTGCTGGGAAAGAGGCTTTCGGTCCCCGGGTGGGGCAGTTCCGAGGCCCTGGCTACAGGCTCTCACCACTTCCTGTGATGCCCGGGCTCTGGGGGCTGGACTTCCTGCACTCCCTGCCCACGAGGGCCTGCCCCGTCTGCCCTCCTCCAGGGCTGATCCCAGGAGTACGAATCCCCAGAGTACAAATCTCTTTTTGTCTTTTAAAAAAAGCAAACTAAATCGCTAAAATTGTGGGGGGATCCTGGGAGCGAGAGAGGCACCGAGGCTTGTGCTGAACAGTGAAAGGCTCTCTGCCCCGGGCACCCAGGCCGCGTGTGCTGCTTGATGGCAGAGGAGATCTCTCAATCGTGCTGGAATTAGGGTACTCAGAAATTAGGAGGAAGGGCATGGAAAGGACATGTTTCTCCTGGTTTCCACTTGTTACAGTCCATGAGTGTTTACCAAACATTATTGACAGGGCCGGGGATTTAGCTCAGTGGTGTCGCTGCCCGCCTGGAAAGCGCAAGGTCCTGAGTTTGATCGCTGTTACCAAAAAAAAAAACCCAAACAACAAACATTATTGACAGTCTAAAACGATTTCCAATATTTTATCTGTTATTTAAGCAGGCTGTGGATTAAGACCTGGTTGTGGGGGGGGTTATGTTTTTGTTTTTGAGATAGGGTCTCACCGTGTAGCCCAGGCTGGCCTTGAGCTTGAGGCAATCCTCCTGCCTCAGCCTCTTGAGTCCTGGATTATAGGCCAGACGTGACTGTCTGAGAGAGAAGGCTGAATTCTGAGATAGACGAGAAGGACCACAGGAAGGTGGTGTAGGTGTAGCACCCGGTCCTCTCCACGCCCACATGGGGGTGTGGTGGGATTCTTACAGCATGGGGAGGGCCCCAAGATGCACCCAGGCCCCCGAGAGCTCAGGCTGGAGTCTGGGCCTGGCCGACCCTGAGCTCTGTGTGGGCCACGAGCCCGACGGGGGAGTTGCTTAGAAGAGAGTTACAGCAGAGTGGCAGGCCAGGTGTTGGCAATACCAGAGCCCAGCAGGGCACGGCCTGTGATCCCAGCACTCGGGAGGCTGAGGCGGGAGGGCTGCTTCAACTTCCAGGCCACCCTGGGCTGCGTAGTGAGACCCTGACTCAGAAAACGAGAGAGAGGCGGGAGGAAAGGACACTCCAGGCAGAAATGACTTTCATCAGAAGCAGGTTTGGCTCTGAAGATGAAGGGAGCCAGGCCTAGCCATCAGCACTTTGGTGAGCAGGTCAAAGAGCCAGGGACAGAGAACTAATCCCGTGGGGCTGCTTCCGGGGCCCTCGGAGCCAGAGCATGTGCTATACATTCCGACCGTAAGGTCGCTGATGATTTTTTCTCTGAGAAAGCTAGTGTTTGAAGAGTCCCAGAATTCCTCTGCGGCATGTAAGAGGGGAGCACACCAAGCGGCTTGAAAGGGCAGGTCCAGGCAAGTGACGCCTGCCTGGGCCCTTCTATCGTGGGAGGCTGACCAAGAGGTCGCTTGAGCCCAGGAGTTCACAGCCAGCCTGGGTGACACAGAGAGCCCGCTTCTTGAGAAGAAGGTGTAATAACGAAGGAGCACGGACCTCATGGAGCTGTGTTCCTGCTGGCTGTGCCCTTGGCCTCCTGGGGAAGTTCTGCCATCGTGTTCAGGGCTGAGAAAGGGCTTGGCCTCGGGGTCCCTGCCGACCCAGCCGACAGAGCCTCCTGGTGCCAGGAAGTACCCAGGCTGTGGTGGAGGATGCCTTTCCCGAGGATGGCTGAAAAGTCAGAAGTCTTCTATCTCTGCAATCCCGGCACTCTGGGAGGCGGGGGCAGGAGAATTCCAAGTCGAAGCCCAGCCTGGGCTGTTTAACTTTGCAAGACCCTGGCTCAAAATAAACAATAAAAAGGGCTAGAGATATAGCTCAGTACGAAGGCCCAGGGTTCAATCTCCAGTACCAGAAAAACAAAACAAAACAAAGATAAACAAAATACAACAAAAAACAAGTTGCCCAAATAATAGAAAGTATCCCACGGTACAATACTGAACACGGGACCTGGCGGCTCGTCCTTATGCCAGTATCTGTCTTTTTTCACTCAGTTCTTGTTTCCTTGTGGTTGCTACTGTGCAGTTTCTCGGATCGCAGTCCCTAAGTGGTTTCTGTGTTTGGTACCGTGTTCTGGCTCACATCTCCCGATTTCTTTGCGATCCTCAACCCATCTGCACCTAAAAACATGAGCACATTTGTCTTGGCGCCTCTCAAAGCTCTACCTTCAGCGTATGCCTGGCACTGGGCAGCTGTCATGGGCGCGATCGCGGGACGTGGGGCCCGCGTGCTGACTCCCGCGTTCATGCCTGGGTTTGCTGAGTACTTGTGCTTGCTGTCACGGGCCTTACCCAGCTGGACAGGAAGCAGTTTTTTCTTCGGAATTCCGTCTTTCAGGAGTGCGCACTGCACCTGCAGGCTGCGGTGTGGGCACACACACTATTGATGAAAGTGAAGGGTATGGTAAAAAGCACTCATGTGATTCTTTTTGTTTGTTTTGTCTGTTTTTTGAGACAAGGTCTTGCTATGTAGCCCAGGCCGGCCTCAAACTCAGGGTGATCCTCCTGCCTCAGCCTCCAGGGTGCTGGGGTCCCAGGCCTGTGCCTCCACGCCTCACTGACTGTAGATTTTAGGAATGGAACCCGTGCTACGCAGCCTCCTATGCTTTCTTTCTTCTGCATCCTGCCGTCTGACAGTCTGTGCATGAGAGCAGTGGGAGATGGAATAGTGTAGGAGACCGTGGGGCTCCCTGGCACGCTGCACACCCTGTCCAGGCCCGGGCGGGCAGCAGGGCAGGACTGGGCTGAGGCCTCTGGCAGCCCAGATCACGCTCCCGGAGGCCCTCCTCTCTTACACGCGAATCACTCCCTTCGCTTTCGCCCTTGCTTCCCATTATAAACGATCACTAAGTAAAAGTTCTCATTTGAACTGGTAGAGGGCACAAAGCTAGATGGCTAAGGGGCAACATCGCCGCTACAAGGTGTGAGAGAAATAGAGAGCGAATGTTCCGATCTTATTGCAGTAAAAGACGTCAAAACTCTTCCCCTGGCTTCGGGTACGCTCATCTCACCATTTGGGCGCTTTCTGCACCGCTCCAGAGCCCTCTTTCCCAGTGTGATCTTTATCAGGTGTGATCAAAAACATGGTGACAGCGGCTGCCGAGGGCCACCCAGTGGAAGGGAGCTTGTGCAAGTGTGACGCTAGGCCCTCATCCACCTCATTCCCCGGGCCTGGCACCGTGTGACTTCTGGCTCTTCCCCAAAGTCAGACTGACCATGCAAAGGACAGTTTCGAGTGAATTCAGGACAACGGGCCAGAACAGTGCCACGGAAACACTCAGGACCGAGGCTTTGCAAGCCAGGGCCTGGGCAGTGAGGAGGAGCATGGTGAAGGGTGGAGAACCAGCAGAAAGTCACACGACTGTGGGACGCGGGTGCCAATCCTCCATCCTTCACGGTGCAACTCACCCTCGGTCCCGGAGCCCAGATGCGGACTCTCCACCTGCGTCCTGGACGTGGATGGGAGCGTCCCGGGCTGGGTCCATGCTGTCCGCCCTTCCTCGCTGCGGCAGCTGCTGCTTGGTCACCCGCACTCCTTGGGCCTGGACGTCCTCCTGGCTCTCCCCACGGTCTCTTCTCCCTGCTCACCCCATGGGTTTTCTTGCTGGGTCTTTTACCGTGTGGGTGTTGGAGGTCCTGGCCAGGGCCCTCAATGTCCCCCATTCTCGTTGCTGGACACTGTTAGAGATTTGATCAGCACCGCGTCTCCCCCTCGATTGAGTTTTGCAGACTCGTAGCCCATCATTACCTTTCGTGTTCTCCAGATGTTCCTTTTGTGTAAGATCCTCTTACGTCCTGGTGAAAACATCTTCTCATGTCTTTAAGAATCCTGAACGTTTGAAGCTTCCATTTTCCTACCAAACATCAGCTTCCTGCAAGTCGTTTTTGCCATGTTCCGGTCTCTATCTTGAATGTAAGAGGTCTGGCTTGTTTTCTGGATTTTGAGGGTCTGCTCGTGACTGGCTACGCAGCTGATCCTGCCTGAAGCCTGGGTGTGGAATGAGCTGCTGGCAGACACCCAAGACCCCGTCTGGTGGGCAGTGCCGCCTCTGAGAGGAGAGGAACAGCGCGGGGTGGGCAGGCGGCCCCTCAGAGGGGTGAACCAGCAGACACGCTGTCGCTCCTCCTCTGCTCTCAAACATACCTGCTGTCCTGGGTCCCGAGGCCCTCGGCCTTGGCCTCAGAGCAGAGCCCCGCTGTCCCCAGGGACAGGCCTGTCTGGGTCACGGGGCCCACACACTGTGGGGGGCAGGCAGGTCACGGAGACCTGGCTGACAGCCACTCCTCCCATGTGGGTGTCGAGCTTTCTGCTCTGGGTCCAGCAGGACATTGGAGTGGCCTGGACCGGGTCACCGCTCACTTCTCTGCAGCCCTGCACCCACCCCTCCTTATTTTCCAGTCCATCCTCCATGCCGGCCTTGGCCCAGGCCTAAGGCTTCCTGCCTCGGCCTCTGTGGAGGACCCAGAACCCACCTGGGGTCGGTCCCCGCTTTCCCCTGGCCCTCTCAGGCTGGCCACTCGGAGACCACCACTCACTTGCTCACTGCCTGTGAGTGTGTGTGTGCTGCTGGGTGAGTTTATTAAAAAGACCTGAGGCCGGGCGTGGTGGCGCACACCTGTAATCCCAGCACTCGGGAGGCTGAGGGAGGAGGATCGCTGTGAGTTCCGGGCCAGCCTGGGCTACAAAGGGAGACCCTGCCTCAAAAACACAAACAAAAATAAATAAATAAATAAAATTTAAAAATAGAAAGCCCTGAAATTCTCCAGGAAGGAGCAGAATGGGGAGCGTGTGTTCTGCCACAGGAACCCCGGGGCCACCTGCTGCGATGCTGCCCGGGCATGGTCAGAGCCCAGGAGAGCCTGATGTCCCCTGCCCCTCTGAGCTGGCCTGCTCTGCAGAGCCTGCCCGCCCCCAGGCCAGGGCAGGTCTGGCTTGCTGTCCCCTCTGGTCCCCAAGTGCCTGAGGCCGCTGCACAGAGCACAGCAGGTACCTGCTCATGTTCGCATCATCAGCGTCCGTCGTCCTCCTCTGTCTCTGTTCCTCACTTCCTTCCTTCTCTGTTCGTTGCTTCTCTCTCTCTGTTAAGTGATTACCTGGGCCGGGGATGCAGCTCAGCTGCACCACACCTGCCTCACAGGTGAAAGGTCTCAAGTTCAAGCCTCAGTACCAAAAGGAAAGAGCGAGAAGTGATTATATTCATTACCTATTCTCTTTTCAAATAGAAATCCATGTCTCATAATCTTAATTTTAAAAGTCAATGATTAGGGTAATGCTTTGCACTTTGTTTGAAAGAAAAACTACCCAATTAAATTAGATTTAAATACTTTATGACATCCACTCTAAAGACTGAAAAGAAAACAGTTTTCCTTAGCCCCAGATGAAGGAATCATTATTATCCCCCAATGAAATTGCCCACGGGAAGCATTTGAGACTAAACTGTTTAAATAAATTCAACACAAATTTTCTTAATCTCAATGATAAAAATTAAAATGCTTCCGAGGCTGCACAGCCCCTTTGGAGCACACAAGCCAGTGCTGCCCTGCGGAGGGTGCCTGGGCCTGAGGCCTGCACGGGCCAAGCAGGCCACTCTGCTGAGTGTGCCTCGGGGTCAGCCTCCCAGTGAGACTGAGCAACTGCTTACCCTCCAGAGGACCAGAGCGCCCTTCAGAGTAAGACGCAGCCGTCCCTTCCTTCACTGAAGCGAAGGGTATGTTTGAGTAATTTAATAGTGAAGTTTTTACAGGAAGCTGCTGTCAACATGGTGCATTTTCATGGACTCAGTTGCAGAATACAGAATTTTGCCTTTTTTGGCTTAAATTTACTTTGCAGTATTATTAAAAGTATTTGTTTAAATTTATTTTAATATTATTGTTTAAAATATGACTTTTAAAATATTTAAAAATAGTGCAAAGGAAGTGGATTGCTATTTCCCAAGATTTAGGAAAGTGCTCTGTTGGAATGTACCATAAAAGAAAATTTTGAGGGCGGGGGATTTAGCTCAGTGGTTTCGCCGCCTGCTGCCCAAGTGCAAGGACGCGAGTTCGATCCTCGGTACCAAAAACAAAAATGAAGATTTTGAGGGGAGGAAGGGGACGTGAACTGAAGTGAGATGTCTTATGTCCATGTACCAACTCCCCATGAGGAACGTAATCATTGTATATTGCAACACGTGCTACTAAAAAATAAAAAGTAAAGCCAGGCATGATGCCACATGCCTGTACTCCTGGCACTTGGGAGGCCGAGGCAGGAGGATTGCCACAAATTTGAGGCCAGCCTGGGCATCATACTGAGTTCAAATCACTTCTGGGCCTTTTGGCTAAAATCAAGTGCACCGTAAGGTCAAGGCCAGCTTGGACTGCATAAGGAGACCCTGTCTCCAAAAGTAAATAAAATTTAAAAAATTTAAAAAGACATAAAAAGGAAGATTTTGAAAGTGCGTCTGAGGTTGCGATTCCCTGAAGGTCATTATTAATCTAAGGTTCCTATTATGCTGCAGCCCACAGTCTTGCTCCGCGGTATGAGTCCGTGCCCTCCGTTTCCGACTCAGAACTGCGAGCGTCGTCGGGTGAGCTCCGGGCAGTGCCGCTGACCGCTGCCCCGTGACCTCCTCCCGGCCCAGGTCGAGTCCAGGCCCGCGATGGACGAAGGCGCCGAGGTGGCGGGCGAGGGCAACTCCCTGACCAAGGCCGTGCACCAGGGCCGGCTGCGCCTCACCCGCCTGCTGCTGGAGGGCGGCGCCTACATCAACGAGAGCAACGAGCGCGGGGAGACGCCCCTGATGGTGGCCTGCAGGAGCCGGCACCCCGACAGCCAGGGCGCCGGCAAGGCCCGCATGGTGCGGTACCTGCTGGAGAACCAGGCCGACCCCAACATCCAGGACAAGGCGGGCCTGACGGCGCTGATGCACGCGTGCCTGGCGCGCGCGGGGCCCACCGTGGCCCGGCTGCTGCTGGACGGCGGTGCTGACCTGGGCCTGCAGGACCGCGCGGGCTGCTCAGCGCTGGTGCACGCCATCCACGCCGACGACGGGGACATGCTGCAGGTGCTGCTGAGCGCCTGCCGGGCCCGCGGCAAGGAGGTCATCATCATCACCACCGCCACGTCGCCGTCGGGGCGGCACACGACCAGGCAGTACCTGAGCTCGCCGCCCGGGCGCGCCTGTGCCTCCCCCTCCGAGGTGGACGTCGGGCCGGCGCAGGCTCCGGAAGCCCAACGGGCACTCTTTGGCGCCGGAGCCCCGGAGCCCCCCAGCGGCGCCGAGGGCTCCTGGGACCCAGGTTCGCCTGTGGGGAAGCCGAAGCCACCCCCGGCCGCGGCCCGGGGCAGGAGCGCACCGGGCCTGAAGCACCAGCACAGGGTGGCCTCGCTGCAGGAGGAGCTGCTGGACGCGGCCGCCGAGGAGGAGCCCCCCAGCCGCACGCCCGGCCTCCCCAAGCGCCTGGGCACCAGGCACCAGAGCATGAAGGACGTGAAGGACGCCGCCCTGCTGCTCCGCCCCTGGGAGCCGGCCGAGCCCAGGAAGCTGCCCTGCGACGAGGGCCACCCACCGAGCCCCGAAGACCAGTGGGCCCAAGACGCAGACCCCAGCCAGGCGGCCTGCGCGTCCACTCTGAGCAGCATTGTGCAGAGGCGGAGCTCGGGGGCGAACCACTACAGCTCCGACTCCCAGCTTGCGGCCCGGCCCGGCCCTGCGGCCTCGGCCTCGGAGAACGGCAGAGCTCTTCCAGGAAAGAAGAAGGTCCTGTCCCCCTCGCCCTCACTGCCGTCTGGGTCCAGGGATGCGCTGGAGAGTGTCCCGCCGGCGCTGGGCAGGCGGGGCCAGGCAGTCCTGGAGAGGCGAGGGTCTGGGGCCTTCGCTTTAGACCACAGCGTGGCCCAGACCCGGCCCGGGTTCCTGCCGCCCCTTAATGTGAGTGCCCACCCTCCCGTTCCCGACGTGAACTTTGTCAGCAACAGGCTTTGCAGCCTCCTGTCCTGCGGTCAAAGAGTGCTTGTGCCAACGGTTCCCGTTTTCCCTAAAGAATTCAAAAGTAAGAAAATGCTGCTAAGGAGACAGTCATTGCAAACTGAGCAAATTAAGCAATTAGTAAACTTTTGAGAGGGCTGCAAGACACTTAAATGTCTGCAACAGAGAGATAGGCATCTGGGGAAAGAATCTTAAATGCCAGTCCTTCAGGTCACACGATTAGTGTGATAGTCCACCACTATCAGGCAGACCAGACTAGAATGTGTTTGGTTTTAGGCACTGTGAACATACAAATAATATATAGCTAGGAGACTTCTCTCAAACCAAATGAAAGCTACTTTTGGGAAAGTTCCAATGTTATCAACCTTCATGTGGTCCAAGTTTTCCATTTAAACAAAAATCAGCAAAGAAAGGCCAACTATGTTGGAGATGGTTTTTTTTTGTTTTTTTTTTTTGGTACCGGGGATTGAACTCGGGTCCTTGCGCTTGCGCAGCAGGCGCCGAAACCACTGAGCTAAATCCCGGGACCTGGAGATAAGTTTTTAAAATGTCAGATTGGCTTAATATGTTATTAGAAAACAATGTTTTCAAGTCAATTTTTAAACATGTCAAGTCAACAAATAAGATTGTAACTTTCCATGATGCCAAAGGCATAAAACACTAAGAGGTATAAATCCTGTAGCATCAATGAGCCTAGGCTGCAAAGAATGACCAAATTATTTACAAAAATTAACTGCAGGCAGGTAAAATCTAAAATTTTAAAAGATCAAAAAGTATAGATAGAATAGTCAGCTACATGATGTTAGTTAATACAAGCTGCTATAATCCATGCTGAGTTCGTTGTTTTCTTTGTGTTTTAAACACACCTACCTATATTGTTATCTTTTGGAATTTTTCCTCCTCTGTATCTTTTAATCCCTATTATTCTATCTGGAAGCTTATTATAAGTTTCCGGTAACAAGATAACACAAAAGTTAAAAATGTTAAAAACCATTCCTCTTCACTTAAATTATTCTTGGCTTCCAAAAAGAAACAAAAAAAAGAAAGAAAAGAAGCACCCTAACCAAAAAAGTTTGGGATTTGTCACAAATAGAAACTAAATGCTTGCTTCATTAAAAAACAAAACTGATTATTAGTTTAGGTTAGCAAAAATTACTAAAGCCAATAGAAAATCACAAAATGTAGTAAATATTTGGTCACACAATATCATTTCCAATATGTAGTTATTAGAATTCACATAATAAGGATAAATAAAGATAACATCCTACATGTGACATTCCAGTCATCTAGTATTTTAGGACTTATAAATAACTCCTAACAACTTCTATTATAAAATACTGAAAAGTGACTGTTAGCTATATGACTTCAAAGTATGATGTTTACGCCAATAATCCTCATTTCAATCTATCAGTTCTTAAAGAATAAATCAAACTACACAAAAGCTGAGCGTACCAATCTGATGATTGTCGAATACAGATTTATTTCTTTGCTTTCTCTAAGTAGGAGAAATCCTAATTCTTGGCATGATGCTTTTCTTGGTGATTTGATATAAGCAACTTGCTGTGTACAGAGTAATTAGTTACTTGTGGGTTTCATTTTTTAAAGTATTTGGAGTTTTCCACTTTATGTTTTGAAGCAAATAATATTAATTACACTAGAATTTTTTTATCTAGAACTTAAAAATTTGTAAGAGCTAAATGCTTTTACCAAGAAAAGTGCTGGCCTTCAGGTTTTAAGGATGAGGTTTGGAAGGACATGTAAATAGCTTTAGTTCATAAACAAAATGGTATCAATAAAGGTTTAAAACATCATGTTGACCACTGCTGGTTTTTATTTACCTCCCAAACACATAATAGTTCAACATTATTTTGAGAAAAATTGTGCCACACATTTCTTTGAAAAAATAGAAAACTGTCTTCACCCCAATGTGGAAAATAAAATTTAGTGAGGTTAAAGCTTGGGAAGCATTGAACCTGCTGGAGATGCTAAGGACGTTTTAGGCTCAGACAGCTGCAGTAGGGTGTACACGTCCTGAGGTGATCAAGTGTCGGGAGCCTGTGGGAGACACAGGTGTGCACAACAGGAACCAGAGGAGTGTGTGCATGTGTGCATGTGTGTGCATGTGTGCCTGTGTGCAGAATATATCATAAGTTGTACCTTAACTTCATGGAGAGCAGGGTTTAACTCTAACCTGAAGGTCTGGTGCCATATTCAGTCACCCAGGACGAGGCCCTCCAAGAATACAGCTCACACTGACTCCTGGCACGACTTCCTTAGGGCGGACACAGGCAGCCCGGTTATGAGTCGTGGGTTGGCATCACTGCCCCAGCGATGCCCAGAGAAGTGGCCAGCACCTGCGCAGCATGATCTTTGCTGGGGACACACCCACTGGGCATCTACGACCACAGCCTTTGAAAACTTCAAACCCTAAACCTACATTCTAGTTAAACACTCACTTTGAGTCCCGTGTAGTTTGCTTAAACGAGAGATGAGCTTGTCAGTGTGGAGAGAAAAACGTTCACCGTGTTTTAAAACATTCGCACTTTCGGCTGCTTTGCCATCCAGCGGCCTAGGGACCCGAGGGACGGCCTCTTCCAGGGGAAGCAGTGCCCAGAGACAGAGCCCTTGCCCAAGGGCACGCCTTCCAGATCGCCAGCCCTCACGGGCTCCCAGACCACAGGCGAGAGAGAGCTCCTCCGCCCAGGGCGGCTGGAAACCTCCCCATAGCCCTTCTGAGTCTGCGCGGCCAGTCAGGCCTCCCTGCCTGCGGGGACACAGGGGAGCTCCTCATCCCCTTTGCCTTGCTCCTCTGCCCCGATGGCTGACGCCCCGCCCCTCCCACGACGCGAGAGCAGCGGTCCTTCCAGTCACTGTCTCCTGCGCTGTTCACAGCCTTGGGCTTAGAGGCAGGGCTGGAGACAGGCTGCACTGGGGGGCCTGGGCCGGCTTAGCGTCCGAGGTGGGCCTGGGCGGTGACCCGGGTCCCCCTCTGCTTCCTGCTCACCGCGAGCTGAGCAGCTGTCCTCCGCCAGACCCTTCCAGCCCGGCCTCTGCCTTGGAGCCAGGGGACCATGGGCCGTAACTGCCAGCCAAAGTAAACCTCCCTCCTCTAAGTCGTGGGTGTTGAGCATTTGTCTCGGCGACAAGAAGTGACTATGAGATGGGAACAACATGGTAATAGTAATAATAATGATAATCTATTTTCCTTCTTTCATTTTTTTGAGACATGGTCTCACCGTGTTGCCCAGGCTGGCTTCAAACTCCTGAACTTAACAGATTCTCCAGACTCAGCCTCCCTAGCAGCTGGGCCTACAGGTGCACCCCTGGGCCTACTCCGAAACAAACAGGACCTCGTTGGAGAGGAAATCACACTTCTCAGTAGACTAGTATTTGAGTCTACAGGCACAGCACCTGTTCTTCAGGGACAGCACCTCCCACTGCTTCGGAAGACCCGGATTCTGAGGAACAGACTCCCTCCCTCCCTCCCTCCCGCGCTGACACCCTAAACTCCTCCCTCTGGCCGTGCTGCTCTCAGACCCCCTCTCACTCTTCCTCTCCAACCTTTCCTCCGTCTCGGGAGGGAGTCCTCCACCCTCAGGCTGCTGCCCTAGTCCTGGCCGTCATCGTTCGCGTTCCCGACCCCAAGGCTCCAGACTGCTTTTCCCGGCCAGCGTGGTCACTCAGAATTCTGACCCTGGAAACTCTCCCGTGGACGTGGCTTGCAGTCTGGCCTGCCAGGAGACAGGGCGCACCTGGGGGTGGAGAGTGGGCCCACCCACCGGGCCCCTCATCGCAGTCCCTTCCCCACACCGGCAAATGTGCAGCTTGGCACTGGTGTCTGCCTGGCTGGCAGAGCCACTTCCAAAAGGCGTGCCTGCTCAGCGCCTGCTCCCTTCCCTGCAGGTTCCCACTGGACCCCAGGAGACTCCAGGGCAACTGGTGCCTGCACCGAAGGGTGCTGAGTACAAAGAGGGGAGCGATGGCAGGGCAGGGTGACTGGTGTGGCACACGACAAGGAGCCAGAGCTCCCTCGGACCCTGCTCCCCCAGGACCTGACTGCCAGGTCCTCTGGGATCAAGGCATTCATTACTCGCCCACATTCTATGGAAACGTCTTCAGCCCCACTCTTCTGATCTTTCTTTTCAATGCTCAACTATTCTTGCATTGGTTCATTAGCGTCTGACTCTAAGCAGACCGAAGCCTCCTGCCAGGGAGGCTCACATCTTAAAGAGCCACATGAGCCATGGCCGTTCTTCCGTGTATTCGCCTTGTCTAACTACATTCAACTTGTCTAACTATAGGGAGAAAAAAACCCCAAAGAACCAAGACCCCAGCTCCAACAAACAAGGAAACTGACAAACTGTTCCAACTACTTTACATAATTCCCCAGAGGATAAATAAATGTGCCTCTGGCTACTTAGCAACTGCATTGCTCACAGGACCAAGGGCTACCGTGTTTCTGAGAAGCTCTGAGTTTTTGAACACTCACATCTCTTCTAGGGTTGGGCTTGTGCTGCCAGGCTTGGGAAGGCATTTGGAGACTATGGGATCCTAACACCAAGAGTCCAGACTCAAGCCCCGGAGGTGATACCTGAGCATAGTTTAGGTACTTACACCGTGTGCACATACAAACACATGCAATTGTACAGCAACAGCAGGATACCATAATGCTTCTTTTTCTTACAGAAGGAGGAGACAGAGAGAGAAAGGTGCTTTATTTTATATATTTACTTTTTGGTTTTTTGAGACAGGGTCTTGCTTTGTAGTGCAGGCTGGCCTGGAACTCATGGTGATCCTCCTGCCTCAGTTTCCTGAGTGCTGGGATTATAGGCATAAGCCACCACACCTGGCTTATAATGTTTTTTTTACAGTGTATAATGACACTTTCTTTTGTTTTTTCTTTTTTGGTACCAGGGATCGATGACACATTTTTAGCTCTTTCCATAGTAATAAAGGCAGGCTTTTCAATGTCTGCATTTTTATGCATCAAGGTCTTTAAAAGATTACTGAAAACTGATATGTATAATTTACACAGTAAAATGTAAACCCAATTATTTTCTTTTGCCTACCCACACATCAAAATAACCAGCCTGAGAACAAGACTGAGCATGTTCATCCCCCGAAACAGTCCCACGAGCCCCACAAGCCCTGCCAGGGCAGGAGCATCCCCACCCCGCCGTTAGTCCCTCTCACTGACTTCTCGTGCCGTGGACCAGTCTGGGCTCTTGTTAAGCCCACACCACTGGGTCCTTATGGTTCGGATACTCCGGACCGGCTCTTCTGCACAGTGCCTTTAACACTCACCTCGATGCTCAGCCTCAGTAATGCAAACACTCGGAGCTGTGTAGTGAGTTCACTGTATGATTCTGCCATATTTAGCGATTTTCTTCTTGATGGAAATTTGGTTGCTTCTAGTTTTCAGGTAAGAATATAGCTGCTAAGAACATTCCTGTTAAAATCTTTTTATGGGCACACTTGAGCTTTTGTCTCCTGATTATAAGCTTGTAGACACGGTGGTGCACACCTGTAATCCCAACACTTAGGAAGCTGAGGCAGGAGGATCGCTACAGTTTGAGGCCAGCCTGAATTACATAGTGAAACACTGTCTTAAAACAAAACAAAATATGAATATTTAAAATATCATCAAGCGTAGACTAATTAAGCAGTAATTTATTCTGGATAAATTTTATTTAAAATTTCATTAAAATGCAATTCATTTATTATCATTTATTAATTGAAGTCACTTTATGAAAGCAATGTATGGTCACTATAAAAAACTTACAAGTATTTTTTTTGTACCGGGAATCAAACTTGGGACCTTTTACTTGCAAGGCAGGCGGTGGAACCATTGAGCTAAATCCCCGGCCCACTGACAAGTATTTTTTACTATAGTTCTAAAGCTATTTTAATGGCAGTTGTTAAGAGTTTTTTTTTCTTTTTTTAATAAAATTGCCCTTTGGCCTTTGGCAAACAACCACAGAAAATAAGGTTTTGGGTGTTATTTAGCAAAGCACTCTACACTGCACTCCAGACGAATTTTCAAGTGGGAAGCACAGCTCCCCGTGTCACCCTGGGAGCGGCTGTCTGTCTCCCCCTTAGGTCCGCACTCACTACAGGAGGAGGACCTGTGTTAGCTGACCCATCACGTGATGCGCGACAGCCCCGGAACAGAGGTCACCACCTCAAGGAGCTGACTCAGGCCTCACAGCCACCCCCTTCTGGATAAGTGAGGAGGAGCCGACGGGGCTGGAAACATCCCCAAGTCCCTGGTGAGGGGGGCTGTAAGGAAAGCCTGTCTGAATTCAGACTGAGCTCTCTTCTCTACACAAAACCAATTTATTCCCTGGGAGAAAAGTGGCGGATTAACAAAAGCAAATTACATACCTTGGGGCATTTCCTGATAGATCCCATTCTAATAAAGCAGAGAAGCCTTGTTCAGGCCACTCTGGGCAGGACAAAGGACACAAACCCCACTGAGGAGACAGCTCCTTGGTCGTCCTGACTCAGCCTTGCCAGCCCTTCTTCCTGGGCCTGGGTCATCTAGGTACACCCAGTCTCAGGAGGGCCGGTATCCAACAGAAGCACGCATGAGCATTTTCTCATTGGATGAAGGGAGCATAAACCAGGGATCACAATCAATATGGCAATTAATTCAGGCCAAAGCAGAGAAGGATATGAAACCAAAGCAGGAAATAATTCAGAAGACTCTCCTTAGAGATTAACTGTGATTCCAATGGCTTGTTTAAATTCACAGTTTTGTGGTTCTAAAATGTCATAGAAAACTTGCTTTTTATCAAAATGGTCTCTAATGTAAAGCAAATCTTCAGTGGAATAGTTATCATCCTTTCCAGTCCAAATAGTCAGGCTGTACCTGTGATAAAATAAAACAGAACTATCCAGTTAAGAGTGAGAGATCAGAAACAACACACGATCTCAAAAGGCCTAAAAATACTCTCATTTGCCTCTAAACCAAAGGTACATGGATTAAAAAGTCATTAGGGATGGTGTAACTATGTTTCCTATTTCACTGCTTTATCAACATCAAAAATATCCGCAGAGCTATTGTCACGCTGCCTAACTGTTCCCTGTGAATGGAGCAGGGCTAGAAACCCAGAGGGTCCCCAAAATGGATCAGATTTGGAAAGGAAGTGAGGAGCCTGCACATCAGGGAGGTGTCCCCACCGAAGGTGGCTGGGCTTGGGCCTGCCCATCACGGGTGTGCGGCAGTGACCCTCCCAACATGACACCCGCAACGGCCTGCGGTGGCCCCTCTGTCCCTTGGGGTAGCTTTTGTGTGAGGTACGAGGATTCCAGGAGATGTCTACGAACAGCACACAGAATAAATTCAGATCCATTTCTGCAGTTAAACAACAGCACACGCGAGTCTTGCGCTGCGTGAATCTGCCCAGCACTGAAGGCTTACTCTTACCGCACACTCGGCCCTCCCAGCGACCCCACCGCTGCCCCGTGTCTCAGGAATGCCAAGCCGGGGAAGTTTCATGTCCATTTCCCCATTTCCCCATCCAGGCAGACTCTGGGTTTCCTGCACTGGGGTGACAGGAGACAGCTGTGAGGCTGAAGCCTCAGGAAGGTGACTGCTTCCGACCGCGACAAAGGGCAGCGCAGCGCTGTGATGGGCGGGTGAGCGCTGTGCGCCGCAGCAGGAAGGGAAAGGAGCTCTCAACCCTGTGCTTGTGCTGACAGGGGACCTGTTAGTTTCCCCGGCACCCTGCTGACAGCCTTAGGCTGACACAGACAGCATGGCTCAGTGAAGGGGAGAGCTTGTCAGGGCCATGTGTGGCTAAGCCGAAATGGGAAAATGAAACTGCCGAAGGGGATCTCAAACTGTTCTCGCTCAAGCCAACTCTTGGGCTTCCTTGGCAAACCTACCTTTATTGTGGAAAACATACATGATACATAAGCACACACACGACACACACGATACATAAAACGTAATGGAGGATCCTAACAAATGATTACAAAGTGAACGCCAGCATGACCAGCCCAAAGCAGGAGTGGCCCAGCCAGCCACCTCCGAAAAGGCCTCACCTATGACTGCATGAGGCTTTGGGGGACATCGAGACACAGCTGTAACATTCCACCGCTGGCCCTCCAGAGACTCATGCGCAACCATTTATGCAAAAGGCATTCAGTCTATCTCTAAGAGTTGCTAAAGGCCTAACAGTTTCAGCATTGCTAAAAAGTCGAAGTCCAAAGTCTCCTCTGAGATTTAAAGCAAGCGCTTAGCTGCAAGCCCCTGTACAAATGAAAAGGAAGTTAAATGCTTCCAACATTCAATAGCACAACATAGACATTTTCATTCCAAAAGGTACAAAGAAGGGAAAAGGTAATGAGACCAAAGCAAGTCCAAAATCGAGCAGCACACTGCCTTGAAATTTCTTCTGCAAGATTCATTAGGCCACCACCCTTAATCTCAGTCTCCAGCAAAATCTCTAGACATGACCAAAATGCAGACAAACTTTCAGCCAAGGTATAACACACATGTTCTAGTTTCCAACAGACAATGCAGCCTTTCCCAACAGAAACCTCCTGAGTCTGGTATTTACCAGCAGTATTTCTACCAGCATTCCGGTCTTCTGAGCTCTAACTAGACTCTCCCATCAAGTACAACTAAGTACAAACTAAGAACAATAGCAAAAAACATGCCCTACTGGGGCCAGGGGTGTAGCCCAGTGGTACAGCATGAGCTTAGCAGGCATGAGGCCCTGGGTTCAGTCCCCAGCACATAAAAAAGAAGAAAGAGGTTCTATTAATCTCACCAGTGCAAAGACACAAATTTGACACTATTTTTATTTACTTTAAATAGTCTAAGGCTTGTCTTTCAGGTACAACTGGGTCATTAATATTCTTTTTGAGGCATACCAGGGCTACTTTTTTGGCTGCCATCTCCAAATCTTTCCAAACTCTTTCCATAAGCCAGTATGAAAGGCTCCTGAACCACATGGTCAGGCACAGTTCCAGCAACAACCCCACTCCTGGTACCAAATTCTATTTTAGTCACTTTTCTCATTACTGAGAAAAATATTTGACACCAAAGTTACAGGAGAAAGGGTTTATTTAGCTCACAGTTTGTAGAAGTTTCTGTCAATAGTTGGCTGGCTCCAAGGCAGATGGCACAGCAGAGGGGCATCACATAGGAAAAACAGTTCATGGCAGGCAGAAAACAGCAAAAGCAGCAATGGCAAGTCCAAGTGACCAGCAACAAGCCTCTATCTGTCCCTTATATCTTTTCCAGGGTAGCACTCACACTCTCAATCCTAGTGCCCTTAACCTTACCATTGTACCATGAATCAATCTTAGCATCACACGCTCTAGATCCAGCCACCTCTGAAAAGCCCCACCTATGGCCTCATGAGGTTTTGGGGGACATCTAGATACAAGCTGTAACAGATGACAACATTTACTGGGCATCTTTTATGTGTACAAGGTTCTGTGCAGAGTTGGGTGGGAGACACGGCGTTGAGTTAGTGCAGGTTCAACCTGGCACTAGGACTCAGGGAGGGGTTGGGCACACACACAGTCAGTTCTCTCCCCTGTTTCTTTTTCACATGCTGCCCGTGAATGATCTGTCTCTCACATGCACATGCACACCCTAGCTGTCAGACTAACACATACCTACCTGTCTGATCTCTTTAGCAGCCAGAGTAACTGGGGACAGGACTGTTTGACCAACGCCGCCCGGACAGGGAAGGTCACAGGCTGACTCAGCCCATCACATATGGATTCCATCTCTCTCACCATCGCCCAACTGTACCCTGAAAGGAGAAGGAAGAAATTTAAGTTTCTGACTGGACTCTGGAAAATCAATTAAAAAACTTAATTACCTATGAATAGGTAAATCTATAGACAATTCAGAGGGAAATTCACAGATAATTCATGAAAATTTCCATTTAGATTCAGAGTGAATTAAAAGATCACTTAAGGCCAGAAAATAATTTGAGTGGAAAATGTAGATTAAAAATTCATGCCCAGGGGTTGAAGAGAGGGCTGGGCAAAGGTGAAAAACAAGAACCAAGAGAGACTATGTAAAGGTGCAAATTTCCAATGATGAATGTCATTATATTGTATACCTAAAATGTACCAATGATTAGAATGAATAATCGATAATGTAAAATAGGAAGAAAAGGTCCAAAGGGGTAGGGGTAGTGGGAGGCACAGGGGAAAGGAAAGAAGGGAAAGGAAAAAATGATAAGAAATGGAAAAAATGGAAATCAAGTCTTTGTAAATAGGGAAGGGTGGAGGGCATGAAGGGAGGGCTAGGAATGGGGAAAAAATAAGAACCAAGATGCATTATGTAAAGGTACAATTCCCAATGAGAAATGTAATTGTGTTGTATACCTACAATGTACCAATAAAAGAATTTAATACAAAAAAAAAAAATTCATGCCCAGCAGGCATGGTGGTACATGCCTGCGATCCTAGCACTTGAGAGGCTGATGCAGGAGGATCGCCAGTTCAAGGCCTACCTAGACTACATCATGAGATCCTGTTTCAAAAACTAAGAATAGCAAAAAACATGCCCTACTGGAGCCAGGGGTGTAGCCCAGTGGTACAGCGTGAGCTTAGTAGGCATGAGGCCCTGGGTTCAGTCCCCAGCACATAAAAAAGAAGAAAGAGGTTCTACTAATCTCACCAATGCAAAGACACAAATTTGACACTATTTTTATTTACTTTAAATAGTCTAAGGCTTGTCTTTCAGGTACAACTGGGTCATTAATATTCTTTTTGTATGGTTCATTTATTTATTCATTTGTGGTACTGAGGGCTGAAACCAGGCCTAGGTACTGAGCTACATCTCAATCCTTTTTTTTGCTTTTAATTTTGAGACATGATTTCACTAAGTCTCTAAGTTGCCCAGGATGAGCTTGAACATGTAATATTCCTGACTCACCCTCTCAGAGTACTGAGATTACAGGTATGCACCACATCTGGACCTAATATTCTTTACAAGCCGAGACTTTCTATTTATGTTAACTTAATTTTTCTTTTCCAAGAAAAGGTGGCTGTTATTTACTAGTTGTGTAAGTGATAATTAACTTCAGTTTTCTTTTTGGCTAGTCTAAATTACTTACACATTTTACCTAAAGTAGAAGCAGTAGTAAAGCTGACTTTATAAATCATGTTAAGACATGCAGAAAATAAACTATTCATAAACAGCTCAGAGAGAAAATTTCTAAATAATCAGCCTAAACTCTATCAAAACCTAGGCTGTAAAGTATGGCGAGGTAAGGAACATTTACGGAAATTCCAAGTGGATATAGTAGTTTAGCAGCTACATTTCTGATAAGTAGGAATTCTCTTTTCTTTAAAATTTAGGAAACAGTATTTCTATTACTAGAAGAAGCTACCGCCTACAGGAGCTATACGTCCATGACTATAAATCTACGAACACTTGATTTTAAAATGTTCAGAGTAAGGAGAGGGAAGGAAGGCCTGTGTTGCTGATGGCAAGGGGGAGGTGGAGGTCTGCCCCACAGTTGCCCTAGGGCTGAGGTCACTGAGGAGGTGCTAGGCACTTCCTCCTTTATCCTCCTCTTTTGCAGGCACACACTAGGTACTGCAATGACGGAACAGAAGGTGCATTACAATGGAGCTGAGTTAAAGGGCAATGCTCCTCTCGGTCCCATCCAGTCCTGGTGGGCAGGGCCACAGCCTTAACGGCACTGCTTGCTGGGCCTTGGTGTGATGCCGAACACGACCTCTGGGCCTGGGAGGATTCGGGAGCACCTGCCTCTGAGTGCAAGGCTCTGGGTCCATGGCCAAAAAGAACCACAAACAACAACAGATGGACAACAGGAGACAGGGAGATGGATCTTTTGCAAATGCCAAGGGACTGAGAGGTGGGGGCAGGGGAGGGGAGGGGCTGAAAGGCCTGAAGATGCGTTCTGTGCATGCACCAAGGCCCCATGAATGCCATCGCTGTGTACCGCAAACACAGAACAGTGAAAAATTAAACAAACATTCATGGTGAATGAGTAAAAAGTGAATGCTCTGCAACCACAGGGTAAAAGCTGGCATCTCACAGCCCCTCGACACCTGTGTAGCTGACCATCTCCATCCTGTGGACAGAGGCCCAGCGCATCTGCTTGACCTCTGGCTGCTGACCCGGAAGTGACTACCGGGACGCGTGGAGAAGCAGAGAGAAGGGGGCTGAGGACTTGGCCAGGAAGAGCAGCTGCAGTCAGGCCCACTGTGGGAGATGTGTATGGAAGGAAGGGACCAAGCCTGGCTGTCCACCGCCCTTGCGGCCAGCGGGGACACAGTGTCCAGGGCAGAGCGTGAGTCCCTCAGCATGCTCCCCACTTCCGCCTCAGGTCACCCGAGAAACTTCCCTGTCCTTCCTCTGAGGTATGGAGGGAAAGCCAGCCTGGAATGTGCCAAGCTCAAGGAGGCCGGCTCAGGATGGTCAGGGCCACTTTGTGCTTTGAAGCTGCTGACAGGTCACGAGTGTCCACCTGAAATAATGGAAGGAGCCTGGGCACACAGGGCAGAAGGTGCGATTTTGGGGAATGTGCTTTGGCTTTGTATCAGAGACATTATTTTTATAACCGGAAGCTATTTTATCCTGACCAAGGATGGATTCACTGTTGGAGTGATCACCTTCACTGGCTTTCTTGGGATGCCATCCTGTCGTCCAGCCCAGGGACAGCGTCACCGCGGGAAAGAAGGACGTCACAGTGTCTATAAAGGGCTTTGCGTCCACGACGTTGCTGGTTCCGCTCGGACCAGGGAGAACGTCAGCATTAATCCACACCGGACGCTGCAAGCGACCTCTCACCGCATCTAGGAGGATCATGGCGGGCTCCACTGCTGCCAGGCTGGGGACACAGTTCGTGGTCAGTGGGACGCAGTATGACACCTCAACGGTTTAGGGTTCTCAAATTCATAACAAATAAAATGCAACAGCAGCTGAACTAAACAAAATCCAGATCACACAGCACCAGAAGGGAGAGCTAACATGCATGCAGGTCTACCCTTCCTACTCAGGAAAGGGACTTCCGGGTCTGTGAAGCATGAGTGATGCCACTACTGGGGGACCAGACCGAGGTCTCAAGTTCCACATTGGGGCCACCGAGTGTGGGATGATCAGGGAGAGACACACACACTCGTTCACTCATCAGAGTTTGCAGCCAGAACCACAAACCAAGCATGAGCACATTTCTGAAACTGGCTGTGAAGCATAAAACCATATGTCCTTAAAGCCTTCCTAAAATGCACCTTTTCTTTTATTGTAAGCACCTTTTTTGAAAATTAGAGACAAGGATATTTAGTTATTTTAAATTGAAAAGCAGCTTCTTCTATTTCCTTTTCTTTCCTTTTTTCTTCCAGCTGATAGCTACAGACATCAGAACGAGAGGGTTTTAATCAGCCTACAGTTTTTACTTTTTAAACAACTGTCCCCAGCTCTACAGGTTGGCTTCCCTACATATAATTCTGTCTTCTGGAGCTCTAAGACGAGCCTTCTGTTGTGCAGGCGCCGGCAGAGAAGGCTCGGAGAAGCAAGGACTGAGACTGTGGACAGCACACTGCCTGGGCTCCGTCTCCCTCTCGCACTCAAGAGGAGAAACCACCGTGGATCCTCCCTGAGGCTGCAAGAACCCAAGTCGCCCGCTGCTCCTGCACACGCTGACCCTCCCGCTCTGCCCAGGTGCAGGCCTAGCGTGGTGGACTTAGCCCTGGCGCGGGACTGCGGACCTTGACCTGGATGCTGCCGTTTCTGTCGGAGGGGCTTCCCAGACCTGTGTTGCATCAAAGCCCGCTGAAACCACAACTCTGAAACTCAGGGGAGCCACAGTAATGCTGGGTTACTTGACTCTAAAACATGACAGCCAGGTGTGGTGGCACAAGCCTGTAATCCCAGCACCGAGGAGGCTGAGGCAGGAGGATCACCATGAGTTCGAAGCCACCCTGGGTACATAGTGAGTTCAAGGCCAGCCTGGCATACATACTGTAGTGAGGCCCTGTCTCAAAAAACAAAATCAAAACTAAAACAAATAGACAAAAAAGCTGTAACTCAACTTCCTGGTACTGAATAGCCCAGCCTACTTTCCTATGAACTTTGTTTAGAATCCAGAGATGACCTAACAAAAATTATACTGCAAATAGTAATAAGTCCCTTAAGATTACATTTAAGGGAGAACAGTTCTTTGCTAAAACTCCAGGTAAAATGTGAAATTACCATGTATCACTTATTACCCGTATACTAAAGAAGATAACTTAAAAGCACAACCCAGGGGGGCTGGAGCCTGACTCGGGCGGGCAGCAAGTGGGGTGGCTGAGGGCAGGCGGCTCCTGCTGCCAGCTGTGTGGCCCAGGCCGGCTGCTCCATCCTCTGATGCCTCGCCTGGGGCAAGGGGACGCAGAGCTGACCCCTCAGGAGGGTTGGGAGCAGTGCATGAAATTCACTGTGACACTCTCACGACAGTCTTTCATCGCTGTTAGTTTGTGCCCATCCTCTTTTAATATGTTATGATTTTTAAAAAACCCTGCAAAAATCGGTTTTTATGGGCCAGGCCTTTTTGTGGTAGAGCTTAACATTAAGAATAAACAAGCTCGGGGCCGGGGATTTAGTTCAGTGTTTCCAGCGCCTGCCTCGAAAGCACAAGGTCTTGAGTTTGATCCCCGGTACCAAAAAAAGAATAAACAAGGTCATCTGTGAGAGGCCCAACAATACATCCTAGAGAACCATTCAGGGACCACCAACAGATGAGTGGATCAAGAAAAAAAATTTTTTTTAACACAATGGAGCACTACTGTGCCATAAAGAAGGATAAACAAGTCACCTGTAGGAAAACAGATGCACCTTGAGACCATAACGTTAGGTGAAATAAATCAGACACACAGCTTAAATCTTTTTTTTTTTTTGGTACTGGGGATCAAACTCAAGACCTTGTGCTTTCGAGGCAGGCGCTGGAACCACTGAGCTAAATCCCCGGTCCTACAGCTTAAATATTACATGGGTTTTCTTATATGAGAAACCCAAAGTATAAATAAAAAGCAAAATAAAAGGTAGATCATAGGAAGTAGAGAGATAGATCTTTTGTAAAAGGGAGGGGACCAAGGGCTGAGGGGAGGAGGGAAGGGACAGCAGGCTGGGGTCACAAGCTGAACGAAGATGTGTTCTGTCCATGCACCAGCCCCACAGGAAATGCAATCACTGCTAACTGAAACGTGGGCTCCTAACAATGACACAGTAACCCTATGAAAGGCCAGGAGAGCTGAACTCAAATCACCAGTGTTAAGGCCAAAGGCTGTGTTCCCCCACAGAGGGCTCGGCTCGGAGACCCAGGACCCCACTAGTGTGTGGGTGCCTGTCCAGCGCTAACTGCCTTGTCGGTTACACAGGGCTGAGCCCGACCTCCACACACTCCACCCCAGATCCCGCTCTGTGCATCCTACCCTGCCCGGCAGAGGGGTGCGGTGAGGGGCGCAGTCGGCCGCAGGCACCTGGCTAGTCATCTTAATCCCGCAAGACTTCCCAAGCCTTTACTTTCTTGAGGCAATTCAGTTTGAAAATATGGTCAGTGATGAAGGCGGTGACCCCCAGTCCTGGAGTTCAGCAGCAGTGGCCTCCCCGGGACCTTGGGGGAGGTTTCCCAGGGCCACAGGCCATGCCCAGCGTCACCCGTGCTTTACGCTGCCAAATGTGGCAAAAGCAAGCCTTCCCGGGACGGCCACAGGCACGCGGATGACATCTCATCTCGCTCTTCCCTATTAATGCTCCAAAATGGTCAGGGCACTTTGGTTACGAAGAATAACCCTTTACAAATATAACCTAAATCAAATCGGGCATGCATTCACTATTCCAACAAACTATTTCTCCCAACTCTCTCAGGCAACTTTGTAGCAAAAGAAGCATCCTTAACTCACATTCTGTCACCACAGTGGTGACTAATGATAAACTCCCTTTAAAACTCACGTTAGCCTCAAAGGGTTGCAAGAAACACTTTAGCAAATGGCTCTGTGAGTCTTCAGTGCATTTGAGGAAACATCTTAGAGCGCACAATTCCTTTTCCGATTCGGATCAAGTACAACCCTAGTCCCGCATGGTCGGGTGAAGTTATTAAGCCTCCGGCCCGTTCCTCTGACAACCAGGACGCTGTGCGCGCGCATACCTCTTGAAGTCCAGCTTGATGCCTTTGTCGCTGAGCGCAACTGCGGCCAGCCAGGCCCGCAGCGTGGTGTCGCTGTGCGTGTCCGGCGGGTGTGCCATGACCGGCCGGCCGCGCTCGGCTCCGGTACTGGCGAGCAGCACATCGGCCTCCACCATGTGGGCAGCGCCTGTGGGGAGAAGAGTCGGGTTCAGGCCGAGACCAAGGTGGGGAAGGAAGGGCGGAATCGGAAGGTCTCCGTGGTTCCCGGGCCGCAGAGGTCTGAAGGTCCTGTCGCACTGCACCCTCCCCGGGGCCTCAGACAGCGAGAGACAGGCAGGGAGATTAGTGTCTGCGGGGAAGTCTGCTAGGAATAAGGAAAGAGTAGCGTTTCTACCTTCTCAGACCTCGAATCAGAAAAGGCGGCTATTGCTCACGTTTGAAAGTTGATGTGAAAAACACATCTGTGTGATCAAGCTTAGCTACTGTGTGAGAGCAGTGGGCTCGGGGCGGGCGGGCCAGCGTGCTCAGCAGACGGCCGCAAACTCCTCAGTCCCTCTCTCCCCTGCACCAGGGCTGCTCTGTGACTTGCTTTGGCCAGCAAACAGTAGTGGACCCAGAGTCCGTACACCCTCTGGCAGCCTCTGCTTCCATCCACCCAGGAGAGAGCTGAGAGGTTCCTGAAGACGGAGAAGGCTCCGGGGAGGAGCGCCAAGATGCCTGTGTGACAGTGGCACTGAGGCCAAGGACAGAGTAGAACTTCCTGCCCAGGAGAGCGGGTGCCCGGCCTATGCACCAGGTGACTGCAGAAGAAGCCACCGGCCCCCCAGAATTACAGAAAGGAGGTGCTAAGTTTGAGCGGCCTGTTACACAGCGAGATGGCAGAGATGGCTGTCAGGGGTGAAGGGTAGGAGGCAGGGAACGTCTAGGAATCGGAGGGCAGTGCGGATTCCCCCAGGCAAAGCTGCAGACACGGCAGTTCGGCTGGATGGAGGAGTAAAACCTCCCACCGTCAGCTGTGACACTGGCTAAGGCAGAGACGATGCCTCCGGAAGCTGAGATGGGGCTAAGCAGACGCCAGGGAGGATGTCGAAAATGCCAGCTGATTTCTTCTCCTGCCTGTGGTAAAGGACGCGACGGGAAGGACGGGAAGAACAAGGTGAACCCTTGTCTCAAGCCACATACAGAGGGACTCCCCCCAGTGCAGGCCTCCTGACCTCACCGCGTTAAAGGCTCAGCTCCCCATTAACGGGCCTTTAAATCTCCCCGAGTGTGGGGGACACACATGCAAACCAGTGCCCCGGTGATACGGCTGCAGTGTCAGCAGCAGGCCCAGCTGCAGCCCCGAAACCCGAACCCGTGCTGAGACCTCTGGGGAGGGCGCCTCGCTAGCCACAGGGCTGGCTGCCAGGAAATCTAGTGCAGGAAGGGTGTTGCCGCCCCACAAAATGCAGACCAAGCACAGAGGAGAAAGACACCTCGGTGACAGACCTCGGGTGTCTCTTTATTGGAGTTGTTTACAGTTCAGTGTATAGAAAAGCCTACTATACTTTTTTTCCTGGTAGCGGGAATCAAACTCAAGAACTTGTGCTTGCCAGGCAGGTGTGGAGCCACTGAGCTACATCCCTGGCCCCTGTGCCTACTACATTTTTATGGGTGACAAAGCCACTTGGAACCAGAGGAGCAGAAATAGCTCAAAAGACAAAGAGGTCTGGGCTTCCACATTCTCCGGCAGGAAGCAGTCTGAGAAACCTCATGGAGCCGCTTCCCAAGAAATGCACAAAGAGGAGAACCTTCTTAGGGAAGGCAGATCTAGGCCAGCCCACACACACTGGGATGGCGACCCACACAAGAGAGCATGGTAACCAATGTGGGCAGAGACGTGGGAAAATCAGAAACCCCATCCACACCACCAGTGTGCATGTAAAAAGGTGCTGCTGTTTTGGGAAATACGGCAGTTCCTCAAAAAGTTAAACATAATGACCACCACTCAGCAATTCCACTAGCCACAGAATGGAAGAGAACTGAAACATTATGTCTACAGAATACTCATGAGGCAGCTGTATTTGCAGTGGCAAAGGAATGGAAACAACACCAATGTTTATCCATGGACGAATGCCCAGGCACAGTGTAGCGTATCCACACGGTGAAAGATTCCGCTGTGAAAAAGGAGTGATGGGAGGCTGGGGTGCAGCTTGAGGTGAAGCACTGGCCTGGTGAGTGTGAGGCCCTGGGTTCCACCCCCAGTCCTGGGAAGAATAACAAGAAAAAAACATCAGCGGACCTCGAAGATGCGCTAAGGGCAAGAATCTAGACACAGAAGCCCATATATGAAGGAAAAGTACAAGGGGCCTGCCTCCCTGAATCCTGATTCTGGGCCAGGGAGCCAACAACTGGCACGTTTTAAAGCAGTGACGATTCAGCTGTTAGTAAAGGACGCCTAAGAGGTCGGCCAGGCAGGGTTGGGTCCAAGTCAGAAGGGCGCGGCCCCGACTCACTGCTCAGTGCCTCCTCCAGCTGCGCCCTGTGGTTGGCACCGTGGTACCAGGTGATCTCAGCACCGTCTTCTGTTGCGATCTGGTGATTTCTCAGAAAATAGTCCAGGATATTTTCACTCCAACATCCTGCAATAAAGAATGGTATCCACATGAAAAAGAATATTGTTTTTTAGGAGGTAAATGTTTTAAATGAAAATTTCACAGTGTCTATTTAGGGTAGGCTGCAGGAGACCAGCTTGAAACTGCACTGAGCAGGCTTTAAGATATTACTGATCTGGCTTATAATTCAGCTACTGATTACAATTATAAGTCATTCCAAGGCCTATCTGTGACTTGCTAAGGGAGTCTTCAGCTGTTGTTTGGAGATAGACTTCCGTATGCCAACAGTCACAACTAAGGTCTCAATGACTGATGAGGTTGTGACGTCTCTAATAGCAAGAAAATACTGCAGCTGAGGCATTATGACCCTGTGCGGCCATTCTTCAAGATCACACGTCAGCTAAGATAACGCAGGTGGCTCATTAGCTACGACCTGCAAGGTAACACGACTGGAGTGGCGTGTGAACTGTGACCTGGCCTTCAGAAGGATACGTAGTTCCTCCCTATCACAGCTGGCTCATTAGTGCCTCAAGCCCTGCTCTTCCCTACATCTGCCTTCACACCCTGTGCTAGGCTGTACGGTCATTAACACTGACTAATCCAGAGCCCCTGATCCAGGACAGAGTGAAGACCAATTCCTGGCCCCCAAGTAATAAACTATCATACATTCTTTATTCTTCATTCCCTGCTCTCTGTATATTATTGTCTCACCCCCCCGCCCCCGCTGTGCCCTGTCAGGTGACCAGACACCCCCGGGCACTGTCAGGCCTCGCCCGACGGCAGACAGCATGGTGGTGTGAGGCACGCTGATGACAAAGGGCCACACAAAGGAGGCAAGGCAGTGGCCGCCACCAGACACAGCAGCCCTGGTTTACGCTTCTGTGGCAAGAATGGCGACACTGTGCTCATTCCACACAACTGCCACAGATGACGCAGCTAGACGCCCCACGGTCCCCAGGCTGTGGACAGGGTCTCAGCTCTGCTGCTCCTGCACCATCAGGGTGCACCCTCTGCCCCACACGTCCCATCCCTCCCGGGACAATCACTGTTTCCTTCCCCATCCTGTCTACGTGAATGTTCTTAGAGTTTAGATACTAAGCAAGGCCATGCATGTTGTTCTTCCTGTGCCTGGCTTACTTCACTCAGTGTAATGATGTTCTCCAGGCTCATCCAGCTGTGGCTAAAGGCCAGATCTCATTTGTTTTTAGGAATGAATAGCATTCTAGTGTGTGGTGTGTGTCCACATCTGTATCCACATGTCGGTCCACACTCATCCAGTAGGCAGTGTCCACAATTTAGCTGCTGTAACGTTTACAGGGATAGCTTCATGGGGGTGAGGGGTGAGTTCTTTTGGCTGTATGCCAGAAGAGAGACAGCTCGGTTGTGGGGGGATTAATAAAAAAAGCCGAGGATGCATGGAAGGAGAATAACAAAGTAATTAGACTTAGAAAAATACAAAATTAAAAAAAAACACATATTGGCTGTCAGAAACTGCCAATAAAACATTGAGGAGCTGTGTGTGGTGGCACATGCATGTAATCCCAGCACCTGGGAGGCTGAGGCAGGAAGATCAATGTGAGTTTGAGGCCAGCCTGGGCTACACAGTGAGTTCAAGACCAGCCTGAACTACCTAGCAAGACACTGTCTCAAAGAAAAATGAAAAGAAAGCAAGCTGATGTTTGCACAAGTCTGTGAATACACCAAAAACTGAATTAAAATCTTCAAATGAATAAAAATTATATGGCAATATTATGTAAAACAAATATCTACCATTTAATACAGAAATTTCACTTGTATGAAATTTACTCTAAAAAAGATATGCTTATATTGGAGAAATAACATTTCATACACAAACATTTACTGCAGTATTATTTATAATAGTGAAAGTGTGAAAATCTAAACGTTCACCAAAAGTAGTCACTAAATTATGGTTTATCGCTACAATGGAACATTATGCAGCCCTTAAAAAGAATAAGGTAACTCTGTGCGTACTGATACAATCTCGCTTAAGTGAAAAAACGGAAGGTGAGGAACAACAATGAAACTGTTATAGTAGGAGAAACAATAGCAAAAAAGACGCCCTCGCTGTAATCCCCGGAACCTGTCAGTGTTGCTTAGCGAAGGGAGGCTCAGGGCTGCATTCAGCTTTAAAGCTGCTAAGCGGATGGCCTGGAGACGGGCGGGCGCCCTGGGTTCCCCGCAGGCCGCATCTGCTGAGGTCGGTGAGCGGCGGGAGGAGCGGCCGGGCCCTCCCCGAGCCTTCCCGCTCCGCTCGGAGGCAGGTCACCGCGGAGCCAGCCCCGTCCTCCACCCCCCTGAGCGAGGCCTCGGGAGCCCGGGCCCCACCCCGCTGCCGCGCCGGCCTCCGCCGCCGCCCCGTCCCTGGTCGCGGAGACAGGCCGCGGTCCCGTCCCTCCTGGGGAGGCGCGGGTGGCTCAGCCCGAGCAGAGGGAGCCGGGAACTACCTTACCCCTGCCCGCCGCGGGCGCTGCCATGGTGATTAGGCCCACCGTCTGCGCAGGCGCGGGTCCCGGTGGCGTGGGAACCCGAGTCCACCGACGCCAGGCTGTGGGGTCCGGAACCCGGGGTTCTGTGCACCGAGGTGAAGCCGGACCGGAAGGAGCGGGGAAATGCGTTGCGCGCGCACGCGCCCTGGCCTCCCCGCCAGAACAGTGAGCTGTTGTTGGAAGAGGACAGAAGGCGTAAAGCGCCTTCATCGTGGAGCGCTGTGCTGGGAAAGTAGGCAGCATTGGTGTGGGGCGTATTTTCTTTTTAACTTTAGTGTCATCCTGAGAAGGCACGGGATCCTTATTACTCCACACAAGGAAGTGTCGCAGCCAAGGATGCTGAGCTAACTTCACTCCCTGTACCAGTGGTCACTCAGAAGCGCCCAGCCTGCAACTTACTTTCCGAGAGCGGGGCTGAGGGAGGACAAAGGAAGACAGCACCGACACACGCCAAACACAGAAGGGCCTCGGGAATACGAAAGAAGCCAGGCACAGAATGACCTTTACTATGTGATTCTGCTGCGCGGAATTCCAGAGGAGGCAAAGTCACAGAAGCACTGCGCTTTGGCGTTACCATTTTCGACTACTGTGGCTCTGTCACAGCTGATCACGGGAGCTGTTCTCGCCCAACCCTTCAGACTTTAACCTTTCTTTTTGGTCTTTCCAGACCTGAGTTTTATCCATCGTCAGTCCTGCCTTCACATTCTCTGGGTGTCCTCTCCATCAATTAAAGGAGTAAGAATTCATGTGTGGAAATGTGACCTTTGGTTCAATATACATAATTCACTTTTGAAATAGAGTGTAGCTGACCTTAGAATGACTTTCCCTTCAGCACTTAAAAATCAGTCTGTCTATATTTATCATCTATCTTTTGGCCTCTATTTTGTTACCAGTTTTCTGCTACCCCAATTGCAAAATTTTCTGAATTATAAGAGTGTACATTGACTCTGGTTATCTCTAATTGCTCTTTAAATATGATACATTGATAATCAGCTTCTGCTTGTTTTGATCTTTGTCTCAGGTCTATCCTGTAGTTCAGAAAATAGTCTCCTATCAAAACAAAATTTTGTCTTTGCAATATATTCACCCTTACATGTAATTTAAGGCTAAATCGAGGAATACCACCAATATCCTAAATTGTGATTTAAAAAACCTAAAGCAATTCAGTGAATGTTTAACAGCAACTGGGTTAAAAGTTAGGGGACTTTGAAAATTTAATTTATATCTTAGTTCCCTTTAACTGCTTAAAATTTTCTAAAGCTTTAACATAAATTTACCCATTGTTGTTGCCACTTATCCAGTTAGCTGTGTTTGCTTGCACTGTTGAGTAAATCATAGAAACAGATTTGTGGAGTTCACGATGAACCTTAAACCATCACCTAGATTATGAGCAGTGCATATAGTGAGAAGCTGGTCAGGAGATTTAGTTTCTAGTTTCAGATGTAGGTAGCTTTATAAACAAATAGCCATTGTATCCTAGAACAAAGACTTCATTTTCTTGTAGGAAGTACATGGTATTAATCGATCTCTACGCTTCTTTATGACTGATTATAATCACAGACATTGAAAAATCTGCATAAGTGTTATAGCTTGTGTTTAGATGTCCCTCCAAAGCCTCATGTGGTCATAGTTGGGGCTTTTTCAGAGGTGGCTGCATCTAGAGTGTGTGATGTGACGCTGGAATTCATGGTGCAATGAACCCTAGGATCAAGAGCACTAGGATAGGGTGTGGGTGCTACCCCCCTCCCCAAGTAGCCTGGATAAAATATAAGGGATAGAAAGAACCGTGGTCGTCTCTTGTTGCTTAGTTACTGTCTGCCCACCATGAACTGTTTCTCCTCTGCAATGCCTGCCTGCCATGCTACTGTCTTGGAGCCAGGTGATTATGGATTGAAACTTCTACAAACTGTGAGCTAAATAAACCTCTCCCCCTTTAACTTTGCATATTTGGTATTTTGTTTCAGCAATGAGATAAGAGGAAAACAATAAGTAACCTTAATACAGCTTGTTTTTTGGAGATTCATAATTGCTAGAAAATTTTTTGTTAAATTCCAATTCAGTGAGTTCCTAGCTGTGTGACTTTGGGCAAATGACTCTCTGAGATTATTATCTCTTTTGTCTTAAAATGCAGTAATACAGCAGAGGTAATTTTTTTTGCTGTTCAGTCTTTGCTATTGGATAGCAACATAGCCATTCCATTTTTGTTTTAGTGTTTGCCTGGTGCTTTTCCCCATCTTTCTATATGTACCATTATAAGTGATTAAAATAATTGTATTTTATCCATTTTTTGGTCCTATTTAGACCGTTTACATTTAATGTAATTTTTTTTTTTTTTTTTTTTTTGGTACTGGGGATCGAACTCAGGTCCTTGCGCTTGCGCAGCAGGTGGTGAAACCACTGAGCTAAATCCCCGGCCCCTTAATGTAATTTTTTGATATGGCTGGATGTAGATGTTATTTTCTCATTACTTTTTCTGTTCCTTATGTTTTTCATTCTTGTTTTCTGATTTTTTTGATTTGGAATTTTCAAAATTTTAAATATTGGTTTTAAAAATATATTTTTGGGGGCCAGGGATTCAGCTCAGTGGTTCTGCCTCCTGCCTCACAACCACAAGGTCCCTAGTTCGATCCTCGGCACCAATCCCCCCACCCCCAACAACAACAAAAAACCGCGCGCGTTCGCGCGCACACGCACGCACACACATACAGGTTTTTTTTTCTTTAAGCTATTTAACTGAAATGCCATATACCGACTTCCATTTATTTTGATACATCTTGTCCCCAAGGTGATTTAGAGGATCTTCAAGCCAATATAAATATTTCATAAATATTTGGCCATTTGGGTGTACATCTGCACAACACCTCACATCTTTCAGCAAGAAAAACACTGAAGAGTAAAGACCTGACACAATTAACTGGGTATAATGAGAATCTGCTCCAAATACTTGTTTCTCTGAGGTAAAGGCGCCAGACACCTGTTCAATTAAGAAAACCACCCTTACAACACAGGATGACTTTTTATTTTGAAGTAGGGATTAGGGCGTTCAGCCTCTAATTAGGTGCTGTGTGGCAGAGCGACATCCCCAGTTTATGCCGTGAATTCTTAGGGAATCAGTTCCAACAGCTCAGGCTCCTTCCCATTGGTTCTCACAAAGTGCGCTTCTCTGGGTGGGGCAGGCTGGCGCTCAGTTGAACCCAGGTACCTTTCTCTTTGGCTTCCTTCTTTTTCTGATCATTTTCCTTGACCCATTTCAGGAAGCTATCTCGACTCTTTGAGTGTTTAATATGCTCAATACGCACATTAATCCTCGGAAAGTCCTTAACTTGCTTGTTTACAACAATGCCAACAGCATGCTGGGTAACATTGTAGACTCTTCCAGTTTTGCCATGGTAACATTTGTGTGGCATTCCTTTTTGAACAGTACCCATTCCCTTGATGTCTACAATATCACCCTTTTTGTAGATTCGCATGTATGTGGCCAAAGGAACAACCCTATGTTTTCTAAAAGGCCTAGAGAACATATACCAGGTTCCCCTCCTCTTTCCCTTTGTGTTTGTCACTTTGGCAAATTACTGGAAGATGGTGGTTCCGGCCGAAAGGCTATATATGTATTTTTTAAAATTGTTGCTATAATTACTTACCAGTTTGGGCAATTCTCAGAATATTTTGCCAAGTGAACTACAGAAACTCAGTCACCATAGAGGTCCCTTTAATGTTCCCCTCATTAGCATGCAGTTCTCCTGTGTATTACATCTTTCAACACTGGTAATCATACCACTTTTTATTCTGGCATATATTAGTATATTCCACTCTGCCTCTTCGCCATCATTTCCTTTCCCCATGAACCTCCCTAACATTTATTTTGAAGCATCTCTCTGGTTACGCTCGTAGTTGTCTTTCTGAAAAATGTCCCACTTCACCTTCATTTCTGAATTTGCTGGTTAAAGGACTCTGGAGGGTTCTTAAAGCTTTATGTTGTTCCACTGTCTTTGGCCTCCTTGGCTTCTGATGGGAAATCTGCCAACATCCAAATCTTTGTGTGTCTCCCCACACACACATTGAAGACTGGACCCAGGGCTGTGCACATCTGGCCAAATCTCTGCTCTTGTAAAGCAGTTAGTTTCCTCTTGTTTTCAACAATCTTCATTTCTTTGTATTTGGTTTCATCAATTTGATTATCGTGTTCTGGGTGTGTTTTGTTTTTTCATTTTGGGGTCCTGTGTCAGTCAGGCTGCTTTAAATATAATTTTATGTAAATGTCTAAATTTATCTAAATTTCTGGAAGTTTTCAATTTTGTGTGTGTGTGTGTGTGTGGTACTGGACACTGAACCCAGGGCTTCGTACAGGGTAGGCAAGTGCCCGCCACGCAGCTAGGTCTCCCCTTTACTTTACGCTGAGGCAGAATCTCACCGCACTGCCCAGACTGGGCTCCGCTCACACTTCCACTGCCTTCGCCTCCTACCTGGGATTATAGCCATGCTCAGCGATTATTTCTTCAAACGTTTTTCCTTCTCATCTTTCTTTTCTCTTTTTGGCTTTGCTGAAGCAAAACATTTTTGGTACATTTTAGATGCACACAGTGAACACTCATCACAGGGAACGTGTACCTGTACAGCCTCTTGCTTTTTTCTCCCCGTTCCCTCCCTTCCCTTTGACCCCTCTTCAAAAGCCTTGTTTCCATTTTTTCTTTTCTTTTTTCTGGCCCCTTCTTTTTGAAAACTTTAAGATATGAACATTAGATATTGTGATATTCTCTCTCAGATCCCCATTGCTATGTTCATTTTTTAAAAAAAATTTTTTTGGGGCCAGAGATTTAGCTCAGTTGTTCTGCCGCCTGCCTCGCAAGTGCAAGGTCCTGAGTTCGATCTCCGGTACCAACAAAACAAAACAAAACAAAACTTCTTTCTGTTATTCAGCCGAGATCTAGCTTCAAATTCACTGACTTCTTCCTCAGTCATCTTGATTCTGCTGCTGAGACTCCCTCAATAAGATGTTAAAATTTTCAGTTCAAACATTTCCGCTTGTTTCTTTGATAGCTTCTATGCAAAGGACTTTTACCTTTTCATTTATTTCAATAGTGCTAAAAAAATTACTTTTAAGTCTTTTTTCTGATAATTGAACATTCTGATAATATAACCTCTAAAGTGACTTTTGTCTTTTCCGTGGGGAGTTGTTTAGGCTTCCTGAATTCTTCTCACGTCGGGTAGTTCTGGGTCATGTCCTGGATATTCTGAGTCCTGTGAGACTCCGTGAGTAGTGCGAGACTCTAGAAGGTGCTCTTTTTTGTCCTGGGCTGCAGTCCAGGCCACCCCAGGTGACACAGCCTAGCACCCAGTGTCCAGTAGGCTTGCAGACTGCCTTCTTGCTATTGGCAGGACCATCCTCCTGGACTGTTCCAGACACCCACTCCGAGTCCTGTCTCTGTGATAGCATTCAAAACCTCTGCTGTTATTTGTTTCACATACTTACACTCCAAAAGGGAAAGAACTGTTTTATTTTTCAACCTATAAAACCGAATAAAGTCTTCTACATATAGCGTGAAAACAGACACAAATTTTTTTTATTATATAGCTACGTAAAAACAAATGGGCTATATTTTACTTTGATTTCAAAATTTAGAAAGAGTTGTAGTATAAGGCCTAAGACCAAATTAGATCACTGTAGATGGAGTAAAAGAGCCATTCTATTTCTTCACCTTTAAAAAACCTTAAATTTTAAAGTACCAATGTGAACAACATGACCTAATAAGGAGCAATGCGATAAAAAATATACACCTACAAAGAATACTCTAAAATGTGCCCCTAGACTTTAGGAATATAATTCAAATTTTTATTGAATATAGAGACTTTATTATCCTATCATGGAAGAGCCTTCCACCATTTGGCTATTTTAAGGTATAGTCACTATTCCTAAATTGTGCAGTTATACTACAAAGAAATTTCAACTACACTAAAAAATAAACACACAATATAAAGAGAACAGAGTTTGATATGCAATTGTCTTTATCTCAGAGCATTTCAATAAATTTCACAAGTTATATATTGTCATTTTACTTAGTATCTGTAACATTTTACATTGTTTATGCAGGAGCAACTTCCAGCAGACTGATCGTCTCTTCCGAACTGTGTCTTTGGGTAGGACTAGAGGTGTGACTCAGCACAGACCATATGCTGGGACGGATTAAACTTCGTGGTCTCTCCTAGCCTGATCCCGCAGATCTTGAGTTATAGCCTTGATGTGATCTAAAAGTTGAGATGTTTCATAACTATTGCTCTTATAACAAGGTTATTTAGTGTACTTTCTTTTTCTTCAGATATACAGTGTTTCTGATACAAAAAAAGCCCTATATATTCCACACAGTGATAGAAAAAGGCAACCAATAATGATTAGATTTTATATAACTTAAATGACAGGGCTGCTATGTTCCCTTTTTATTTTTTTCCTATTTGAAGTAAAAAAAGAAGCTCTGTAACAGTTTCAAATACACGGAACTTATGTTAAATAGCCTGTTATAAAAATAACCACCACATAAAGAATTTAAAATATGCAAAAGTGATTAGTTCATTAAAAATTATATTCATACAGGGTATCAATGAAAATATGCAGACTGGCCAAGAAATTTCTATACTCATTTTTTTTTTTTTTTGGTACCGGGGATCGAACTTGGGTCCTTGCGTTTGCGAGGCAGGCGGGAGAACCACTGAGCTAAATCCCCGGCCCAAGAAATTTCTAAGGATTAACACTGAAGTAAAAAAACCTGTTTCAGGCTTCAATTATTGCTACATACTGACTACTTCAAGGTCAACTGGCCTGCTGTCAATCATTCCTATAAGTGGTAAATACACTGATACACTTTGGAAAAAAAGAGGAAAAATAATGCACTGTGATACAAAAATATTACGTATTTATAAATTATTAAAGATTTATAAAACACATTCTGAATCACATGTTGCTATAAAAACAATGTACTTAAATATAGAAGCACAAAATCCTGAAGCACCCATAATTAGTTTAAGAAAACCCATTTAATCAGGAAAAACCTATACATTTATATAATAATTTGAGAAGAAAACAGGCAAAATTCTGACTTTAATCCAAACAATCAGAATTTCTCTAATCATGGAAATAGGTCACCACTCCAATTATACAAATAAGTTATTAGCTTTATTCAAAAATTATAGGTCTAGGATATTGGAACTGGTCTGTGCCACTGAAATACATTTTAAACAGACTTCAGAAGCCAGTATTCTCGCTGGCTTTTACACAAACAGGTATTTCCTTCATAAGGTTACATGTGCAAAGAGTCTTCATTAAAATCTTTCTCGGCATAAAGAGGTATAACTAAGTACATATACTTTGGCTTAACATTGAAATATAGTAAATGCTATCAACTTTTTTTTTTTTTTGGTACCAGGTATTGAACTTAGGACCTTGTGCTTGCAAGGCAGGCAGCAGAACCACTGAGCTACATCCCTGGCCCTCAATTTCTTAAAGGTAGAAGTCTTTGTCTTTTTACTGCTTATAGTAATGTAAAGCTTCAAACATGGTGGATCCTTTACATTTAGGTATTTAAATATTGCGATAGTGATTTTAACAGGCCATTTCTGCCTCAAGAGCACAGCTTAAGTGTTCCAACATCAAGCATTTAGTGTTTGTGGCACAGCACCTTCAGTGCTGGGATAGTTCTGACCCATCAGGCTGCAGTCCATGACACGGTACGTCCTCTCACTCCACTAGATTCTCCAGGATGAAAAGTACCAATTCCATTTCCAGTGGCAAACTCGAGCTGGAGGCCGCCCCATGGATCACAGGGATCAGGGCACTGTCCAGGGCATTCAGGTAATGCTGAGGTAGCAGTTGGCCTTCAGAGCCTGCCTGAAATTCAACCTGAAAAAGGAAATCCTGATAAAACAATCTTGGAAACTTAGCAGTCCTGATTTTAAAATATTTAAAAATGTTCAGTTTAAGCATGTTAATAAAAATCACACATTATAAAGCAGGGTTTCTGCCATATCTCTCTTAACCATCTACTACACAGATATTAACAGTCCCTTGCAGGGACGTGGTAAACACTACTGCTATACTTTAATAAGCACTGGAGGGCTAAAGCTTTGAATAATTACCAGTATGGCTAAATAAAAATCTCCACAGCATTACCAACTACTTAGAGCGAGCTCAAATAAACAACCTAATGCTGAACCTCAAGCTCCTAGAAAAACAACAGCAGGACAAACCCAAGCTCGTACAAAGGAGGAAATTATAAAGATCAGAGCAGAAATCAATGCAACGGAGACTAAGAGAATGATACAGAAAAATCAACGATTCGAAGAGTTAGTTCTTCAAAAGAATAAATAAAATCGACAAACCCTTAGCTAACCTTATCAAAAAAAAGGGAAAGGCTCAAATCTATGGAAATATGAATGAAAAGGGTGAAATCACAACAGATCCAGCAGAAATCCAGAGGATCATCAATACCTGGTTTGAGAACCTGTACTCCAATAAAATGGAAAACACAGAAGAAACGGACAGATTTCTAGATACATATGAATTACCAAATTTGAATGAAGAAGGACTGGGGATTTAGTTCAGTGGTTCTGCTGCCTGCCTCACAAGCACAAAGTCCCGAGTTTGATCCCCGGTACCAAAAAAGAAGATATTAAAAATTCTCAAAACCCCTATTTCAATCAGTGAAATTGAAAACATAATTAAAAACTTACCAACAAAGAAAAGCCCAAATCCTGATGGCTTCACTGCTAAATTCTACAAGAAATTTAGGGAAGAGCTAATGCCACTACTTCTCAAACTCTTTAATGAAATTGAAAGGGAAGCAATACTCCCAAATTCATTCCTGGAAGCAAGCATTACTTTGATTCAGCAGAGAAAGACCCAACCAAAAAAGAGAACTACAGACCAATCTCCCTAATGAGCATATAGATGCAAACATCCTCAATAAGATACTGGCAAACAGAATAGAGGATCATCAAGAAAGTCATACAGCCTGACCACGTCAGATTCATCCCAGGGATGCTGGGATGGTTCAATATACATAAATCAATAAATGTAATACACTGTATTAACAGAGTCAAGAAAAAAATCATATGATCATCTCAATAGATGCAGAAAAAGCATTTGACAAAATCCAGCACCCATTTCATGATAAAAACCCTACAGAAAATTGGAATAGATGGTCTTTATCTCAACCTGGTAAAAGCTATCTATGAAAACCCAACAGCCAACATCATACTAAATGGTCAAAAACTGAAATCTTTCACGCTAAAATCAGGAACAAGACAAGGATGCCCACTATCACCACTCCTGTTCAATATAGTTCTGGAAACAATAGCCACAGCAATTAGACAAGAGAAAGAAATAAAAGGAATAAAGATAGGAAAGGAAGAAGTTAAACTGTCATTATTTGTTGATGACATGATACTCTACATAGAAAGCCCCAAGAACTCCACCAAAAGACTTCTAGACTTACTTGACAGATTCAGTAGAATAGTTGGATACAAGGTTAACACTAAAAAATTAATAGCCTTCTTGTACACAACGGACTCACTGAGAGAGAAATTGGGGAAACAATTCCTTTCACAATAGCATAAAAAAAAGAAATATCTAGGAATCAATCTAATGAAGGAAGTAAAAGACCTCTACCCTAAAAACTACAGCACTCTGAAGAAAAAGAGATTGAAGAGGATATAAGAAAATGGAAAGACATTCTTTGTTCCTGGGTAAGAAGAACCAATATAGTGAAAATGGCTATACTTCCAAAACTGCCATAGAGATTCAATGCAATCCCAATTGAAACTGTATATTTTACAGAACTAGAGAAAACAATCCAAAAATTCATTTGGAACCAGAAGAGACCTAGAATAGTAAAAGCAATTCTAGGCAACAAAGACAAGGTAGGGGCTATCACAATCCCCAACTTGGAACTATACTACAAAGCTACTGTGATAAAACAGCACGGTACTAGCAAAGAAACAGACCCAAGGATCAGTGGAATAGATTAGAAGATGCAGAAATAAATCCAGACATACTCAGGCACCTCATCTTTGACAAAGGAGCCAAACACCCTCATTGGAGGAAAGATAGCCTCTTTAATAAATGGTGCTGGAAAAACTGGATTTCAACCTGCCAAAGATTAAAACTAGACCCCTATCTTTCACCATGCACTAAACTAAAATCGAAGTGGATCAAAGATCTAAATATTAAAACAGAAATATTAAATTTGCTAGAAGATAGATTAGGTAGAACTCTTGAAGACACTGGCATAAGAAAAGACTTTTATGAATAAAACCTCAGTAGCACGGGAACTAGCATAAAGAGTCAACAACTGGGATCTCATCTTATTAAAAAGCTTCTGCATTGCAAGAGAAACCACCAACAGAGCTAAGAGACAACCTACAGTGTGGGAAAACTTTTTTACCAGCTGTTCCTCAGACAAAGAACTACTATCTAGAATATATAAAGAACTTAAAAAAAATCAGACCCCCAAATTTAAAGACCCAATCCAAAATTGGGCATCTGAAATGAACAGACACTTCTCAGACAAGGAAGTAGAAGCAGCAAATAAACATATGAAAAAATGTTCAACATCACTGGTCATTCAAGAGATGCAGATGAAAACAACAATGAGATTCCATCTTACTCCAAAAAGAATGGCTGCTATCATGAAATCAACGAATAACAAATTCTGGCAGGGCTTTGGGGAAAGAGGAACCCTGCTCCATTGTTGGTAAAGTGCAGACTGGTGCAATCACTGTGGAAATCAATATGGAGATACCTCAAAAAAGTAGGATTAGAGGTCCCATTTGACCCAGCTATTCCCCTGCTGGGTATCTTCCCAAAAGAATTAAAAGAATCATACCACAGCGATATATGCACACCCATATTCACAGCAGCACAGTGTGTAATAGCTAAATCTTGGAGACAGCCCAAATGCCCATCAACTGGAGACTGGATAAAGAAAATGTGTTTTTTTGTTTTTTTTTTAATAAAACGGAGTACTACTCAGCCAAAAGGAATGAGAACTAGAGACATTTATAGCTAAATGGATGCCCACTGAGGCCATACTCTTTGTTTGTTTGTTTTTGGTACTGGGGATGGAACTTGGGACCTTGTGCTTGTGAGGCAGGCAGTGGAACCACCGAGCTAAATCCCCGGCCCCAGGCCATACCCTTAAGTGAAATAAATAGGTCACACATATATAAATACCGAATAGTTTCTCTGGTGTGAGAAAATGAAAGTGTAAATGAGGATCAAAATGTATAACAGATAATGTGAAATAGGGGAAAAAAGGACCAAAGGGGAAGGGGAAGTGGGAGGTATCGGGGAAAGGAAAGAAGGGCAAGGAATAAATATGAGAAAAGGAACAGAAAAAAAAAACTACTTAGAAATGTTTCAAATGTGTTATTGCAATGACATTTAATATTATAATTTAATGCATCTGACTAAGAAAGAAAACTTTGACAGTGCTTACTCAAATGCCCAGTAATTATCAGGTGCTTCCCCAAAAGGGAGCAGTTAACAATGCAAGCTTCCTCTTTCCAGGAAGAAGCAACCACATCCAGGCTGGAGAAAAGTAAAGCAGCACACCAACTTCCTCCTGTTAGATGAACCGTGCTAACGAGCATCTGCTTTGAAAAACCATAATGGGTGCTGGAAACAGTTGTAAAATAAACACACCTAACAGATAGGAACGGAAAGTTGAAAGGAAAAACAGGGCCTTAACATGTAAGATGACCCTCAGTCATGGTTAAAAGAAATGCATATTAAGGTAATACTGAGGCTTCTGCCTCACCTATCAAATTGTGAAAGTTGAAACGTTTGGGCCAAGCATGAAGCTTCATGGAAGGGTGCTGGCCTAGCCTCGAGTGCCTGAGCTTGCTCTCCAGCATTGGGAAAAAAAAGCAAACCAGCAAGAAAGCAAAAGAAGACTTGAGTATGTAGTGTTTTGTGAAAAAACAAAACTTTAGATCTTTTGCATGAATATATAAATTAACATAGCCTTTACTTGGGACAATACAGCAATCTATTTAGTACACACTTGGATATGGTAATGCTGTTAGGGAGTTTTCTTATGGCTGTACTCACACTTATACAGAAGCAAAGTATCAACAACCTCAACATCAAATATGCCTTGATCTAGTGAAATCAACTATCACCCACTTATGTAATCAACTAATGTGATACTATGCAACTGTAAAAAGGACATGCACTAATAGGTAGTATCTCTATGCTGTACTGAGTTAAAGATGCATGGCAAAAATAAGACAGTGTTTAGGGGAGCAAAACAGACAGGCTCACCCGCTCCTGTCCATGGATAAAGCCCCAGAGAACACTGCAGGCTCATGTACCATGGACTGTCCAGGGGGTGGGGGGCAGCATCTGGAGCAGCTGGGGAGGGGGCAGAAAGGACTGGTCGAGTCTGGAGCGAGCACCTCAGCACTTCACTAGTGCACAGCAGGTGGTGGATACTGCTCTCTGGGGAGGCTTACCAAGACACTCCTTTCAGATGCCTCTTACACTTGAAATTTTAAATCTTGTCAGTGTAGGATCTTATTAGAACATGTCAATTTAAAAAGCAAGAGCTCCATGGAATGGGGCTTAGCCACTCGTGGCCAAATCTGGCCCCACCAGGTGAAGGGTTGTCACCACAGGATGGTCCACCTGTGGTCAGCGACTGCTCTCCCCATAGAGCAGAGCTGCACTGCTGTCACAGAAACCAGAGCCTGTGACATCTACAGTATGTGCTGCGGGGCCTTTCACAGAGCACAAGTCCCCACCTCCGCTGCAGGAGGAGCAGGGCAGCAGACATGAAGTGCAGCACACATCCCTTCCTCAAGATAAAGGCGAGAGAGATACACCCATCCAGAAGCCCTGGACAGTGTGCCTCACCACGTCTGTGTCAATGGAGACTCTGAGTCCAATCCTGTTCACCCCACTACTCTTTAGAGTCTTCAGGTGAGGGCACAAGGCGGCACTGCAAGCCATGGCGATTTCTTTCGCAAACTGATGATGAGTTGACAACACAGATAAATCCTGATCCTTTAGAAAGTAGAACACCTGAAATATATTCAATTAGAAAAGAAGTCATTATGAAGATTAAAAGCAACTATTGTCTTTTGAGACAGAGTCTCACTATGTACTGCAGGCTGGCCCTCAACTCACTGTGTACCCCAGGCTTGTGATGATCCTCCTGCCTCAGCCTCCCAAGTGCTGGGATGGCAGGTGTAGTCACCACAGCCAGCAAAAGCAACTTTTAAAATGCAGCAATTGCTGCTTTCGAATCAACATTAATAAAATTCCAATGTTAGTTCCATGAAATCACTACCTGGGACCATTCTATGTCTACAGCCTGAATCTTTTCCATACATAAACATTTAAGGGGGCCAGGGATTTAGCTCAGTGGTTTCGCCGCCTGCTGCGCAAGCGCAAGGACCCAAGTTCGATCCCCAGTACCAAAACAAAAAACAAAACAAAACAAAACATACATAAACATTTCAAACCAAAGATTATGGATTATGGAGAATGGCTGAGCTATTTCTGCCTAAAGCTGACTTGTAGCGATGGAAGTTCTGTTAACTTAGAAGAGTTAACATCTATATAAAGTGCACACATAGGGCCCCTATATAAAGTGAAGAGCAAACAAAGGAGTGATGTTCTGCGGTTTCCACACACCTTGCCTATACATGAAATCACAGCGATTGCACAGAAGCGACTGCCACTGCCCGCCTGATGAGGACAGGAGCCTAAGAGGCTGGGTGTCTGTGGTCCTAAAGTTGCACAGCCTCTTATTTAAAACACAACTAGGAGCCAGGGCAGTGCTGCACGGCTGTGATCCAGTCTTGAGGAGGCTGTCAGGCAGGAGGGCCAAATGTCTGAATCCAGCCTGAGCAATTTCCGGATTCTGAGAGACTCTGTCTCAAAAAATGAAAAAGATACAGGGCTGGGGATATAGCTCAGTGCAAAGACCCTGGGAGTAATCCCCAGCAGGGGGAGTAAAGATGCAAAAATAACTTTCATATGTGAACCCTGGCTATAAATTTATGTCATAAAATATCTTATTGATTCTCCAGAGCAAAGTAAAAAGATAATAGTAGTGACAGGGTAGTAGTCCAAAGATGGCAGTGTTACCAAAACCTGACTACAGCTGGCAGGCAGTGCATCACAAGGACAGCCTGAAGTGAGCCTCGCCCCTTGGGGTGGAGGTGTGTGTCGCAGAATGTGAAGGAAACAGTGCAGAACCACACTCAACGTTCTGAGGCCGAGATGCGTGGTCTCCAATGTAAAACCAAAACCCATATCCGACCCAGCATGTCTAGCGAAGTGACTTCCCTCTCTCCTACCTCAGTACACTTTACAATCTTCTCGTCTGTTTCAAAATCGGCTTCCAGTTTTATTTTTTCACTTGGAAATCCTTGTAATGAGATTCCATCCACCAAGCTGATCACACTACAGAACAAAACATAATACGATCAATGTCATCTAAGTGCTTCTGATTAAATGAATTATTAGATTTGAACAAATGAAGATGTGGAGAAAAATTCTAAATTTAAAGCAGCAACATGCTCTTGCAACTATATGCAAGATGGATATGTGGCTGATTTATCATGATTTATTGATTATATAGTAATTTTTTTCATCAGCAAATTATATCTCCTTTCTCACATGCCCAATTCAGACCTAGATTTCAAATACCTTAAAAAGTCTGCTAACAGAAAAGCTGTCTTATGAATTCAAAAGCTCTATTTTGGAATCCTTTAGTATTAGCCCCCTTCTTCCTTCTTTCTCCAGATCCCTTAGCCAGTCTTCAAAAAAGAAAGGCAATGAGTAAATGAAAAGAGGAAGGTGCAGTAGCCATCTATAAGGCCTCTAGGGTGCGTATTACTGGATCCAGTTTCTACTCACAGGAAGCCAGAGTACATCAGTATCACGCAAAGGGAACCCGTATTGCTCACGAGTACAGGGACCGCGTGACGGGAAGGTTCTCTGCCTTCCTGGGCCCTGGCAGCAGCCTGTACTGCTGCCCCTGCACCGACCACCCAGTCCCAGCCCCCAAGACAGCAGGAGGCTGGCGGGGCCACGGCTGAAGAAACACGCTGTGTGTATTAACTGGAGGGGTAGCATTTACATCCACGGCATAATCCCACATTCACTTATAAAGCAGTTATATTAAAGTAATGTTTTTATTCTTTCCCCTCTGTCAAGTCAATTATGCTCTGGTAACAGTAACTCTTACCCTTTGTTTCCTTTTTCTTCAGCATCTACCCAGCAGATATCCACGTACTCTCTCAGGTCTATCGCGTCCACTCTTCCACAGGTAATTTTAAAGTCCTTCTGCTCTCGCAGAGCTTGCCTCAAGCCATCCATGGTCTCTGGCGTTATCTGTACCATTAAGCCGTCTAGGAAGAAGAGTTACACTTCACATTTATTGGCCAAAAAGAGTCTATGCCTAAGGTGTAAAGTTCACTAACAAGATATGGTCAGTGTAAGGTAAATTTTACACTTCATCTTAGCCAAAAGGCTGAGAAGGGAGAGGGTAAGTAAGTTTTAAATCCTTTGTTCATCATCCTAACAAATGTTTCCCACTAGGAAAGTAAGAAAAATATTTCACTATGTTAAGGATTCTTTTTTGAACGTTGAATGAAAACAAAGTTTACACTTCTAGGTTAGATGAAATCACTACCCAAGAGCATATCAAAAAATTACACACCATGATTAAGTGGGATTTATTTCAGGGATATAAAGGTGGTTCAACATATGCAAATCAATAAACAATGAATCACATCAAGAGAACGAAGGACAAAAGCCGCTAGTCATCTCAACAGACACAGAGAAACCATTTAGTAAAATTCAACATCCTTTCATGATAAAACTGTCAATAAACTAGGCAGAGAAGGAACGAACCGCAACACAACATAGCCACCTATGACAGGCCCACACCTAACATGACCCTGAGAGAGGCAGAGCTGTCACTGCCACTGAGTCCACCTTTGTCACTTTTAATGTGGTGCTACAAGTCTTAGCCAGAGCATTGATAAAAGAAAGAAAGGGCATCCAAATGGAAAAGAGAAAGTCAAACTATCCCTAGTTCCAGATGATATGGTTTTATATAGACAGAAATATTAAGAACTTACCAAAAACTGTCAGAATTGATTAACAAATTCAGTAAGGCTGCAGAATATAAAAGTCAACACACAAAGGTCAATAGCATTTTTATACAAGCTTGCTGAGAAAAATCAAGGAAGCAGTTCCGTTCACAATGGCAACAGCAACAAAAAGAATCAAGTGAGATGAATGATTTTTATCATTCAAGGAGGTGAATGATTTTTATAATGAAGAATACAAAACACTGGTAAAAGACATTGACGAGGACACAGAAAAATGAAAACACAGCCATGTTCATGAAGTTATTATTATTATTGCAATACTTGGGGCCTGATCCCAAGGCCTCATGCTCTCCCACTGAGAAACATCCCCAGAAAATTATAGGAATTAGTATTGTTAATATGATCCTATTACTCAAATCAATTTAAAAATTAAATGAAATCTTCCTCAAAATATAAATGACATTCTTCACAGAAACAGAAACGTCCTAAAATTTCTATGAAACTACTCTGAATAGCCAAAGAAATCTTGAGCAAAAACAAGGCTGAAAGTATCACAATATCTGATCTTAATACACACTACAATGCTACAGTAACCCAAACAGCATAGTACTGGCATAAAACAAATGCCAATGAACAGAACAGAAAATTCAGAAATAAATCTACCCATCCATAGCTGTATGATCTTCAACAAAGGTGCCAAGTGTCAGGCCTGACCTAAACGAGTCCTTCACAAACAAACAGGACAAAGCAAACGCAGCTTTCCGCTAACGACAGGCTGTTTCTCAGTAAACAAAAGACAACCTCCCTGGTCCCAAAAAGTCCAGTGAGTGTCTACATACCTGTGCAGGCTGTCCTTGGACTCAATCATAAACATCTTACCCCAGATTCCTTAGCCCCTTCCACACCTAGAAGGCCCAATTCCTCTCCTGATGTCAGCCCACCCACTCACAGATGATATCTCTCCCAGCTAGCTGCTGCCATTTCTCTCTTCTCATCAGCCTTCCACATGAGAATGTAATAAACTTGGCTTTTCTCACCTAGCTGCTCGACTCTATCCCTGATTTTAGTCTCTGTTCACTGAAATCAACTTTTGTTTCAAAAGCCTATTTAAATGAGTGGTTTCACATGTGACATCTTACAACACCAAAAACATACACTGGAGAGAGGACCATCTCTTCAATAAATGGTGCAGGGAAGACTGGATATCCATATACAAAAGAATAAAGCTAGATTCCTGTCACCATGTACAAAACTCTATTCAAAATGGATCAAATACTACATGTAAAACCTGAAATGATTAAACTACCAGAAGAAAACAGTAGAAACTCTTCAAAATTTCTGCATAGGTATTGATTTTTTGGGATATGAACCAAAAGCACAAGTAACAAAAGGAAAACTAAGCAAATGTGTATCAAACTAAGATGCTCCAGTACTGCAAGGGAAACAGTCCACAGAGTAGAGACAACGTGTAGAACGGGAGAAGATACTCGCAAACCACACATCCACCAAGGGGTTACTATCCAGAACACCCAAAGGACTGAAACCTCAACAATGAAAAAACCAATCAACAAATGGGCAAATGATCTGAGTGTCTCAAAAAACATGCTACACATACACAAACGGCCATCAAATGTACAAAAAAATGTCCAAAATCACTACTCATCAAAGAAATGCAAATCAAACCATCTTGAAATATTATCTCACCCCACAGTGGTTATAATAAAAAAGACAAAAAATAAAAAGCAAAAAAGTTAAAAAGCTGGCAAAGATGTGTCTCTTTCACACCGCTGGCAGGAAGTTATGAAGGCAGAGTAGGGAAGTTCCTCAACATTAACTACTGTGGGGCATATCTGCCAACGAAGTGAAATAGCTGCATCAGAGACGCCCACATGCCCACATTTACACAGCGGCATTCCTAAGAGCCAAGACAGGAAGTCACCTGGGGTAGCCACCAACAGATGAATGGATAAGGAGGAAGAATGAAATCCTGCCACCTGCAGCACGTGGGCGGGACTGGAGGGGACTGTGTTGAGTGAGAAGCCAGGCACAGAAAGACAGACACCAGTGGTTCTCGATCTTACAATCTTACGTGGAAACTGAAACGCTGCCTTCACAGAAGCAGAGCATAGAAGGGTAATACTAGCAATTAGAAAGGGTAGCAAGGTGGAGTGCAGGGGTGGGCTTTCGCGGTGGGCCCTTCCACGTCTGGGGCGTGAGTGGCAGCTGTGTCTCCGGGGTCCCTGTCCCCTGCATGAGCCGGCGCCCCCCTGGAGGACACCCACGCTGACATGGAACTGTTGATATTTAGAGATGTGGTCATCGATTTCTCTCTGGAAGACTGGGAATGTCTAGACAATGTTCAGCGAACTGTGTATAGGGATGTGATGTTAGAGGACTACAGGAACATTTTCTCCCTGGGTCTAGGGCCTCTAAGCCACATCTGATCACCTGTCTGGAGCAAAGCGAAGTGCCTGGAATGTGGAGACACAAGGGACAGCAGCCGCACATCCAGGTGTCACGAAGTCTCATTCAAAATATACTGAACACCAGAGAATTTATGCTGGAAAGAAAATCCACAAGCGTAAAGAGTGTGGCAAAGCCTTTAGTAAGCGCTCCAACCTTAGTAAACGCCATCGAGTTCACACTGGTGAGAAACCCTACCAGCGTAAAGAACGCGACAAGACCTTTGATGGACCCTGCAAGTTTGCTCAGCACCAGAGAGTTCGTAGTGATGAGAAACCCTGCAGACGTGAACAGTGTGGCAAAGCCTTCGAACAGTGCCTCTGATTCATTCATCACCTGAGAGTTCACACTGGTGAGAAAGCCTACAGATGTGAGGAATGTGGCAAAGCCTTTGGCCGAAGCTCCAGACCAATCCAGCACCAGAGAATTCACCCTAGAGAGACCCTCACAAGTGTGGAGACTGTGGCTCAGCCTTTAGTCAGTACTTGCAGAACACACAGCACAGAGAACCCTACCAATGTAATGAATGTGGAAAAGCCTTTAACGGGGCTCACACCTTACTGAATACCAGATAGTTCGTATGAGAGAGAAACCCTACAAATGTAAGAAATAAGGCAAAGCTTTTTCCATAATTCAAATTTTAGACATCACAGAATTCTTAATACAGTACATAAAAGTCCCACCCATAAAAAGAATGTGGCAAAGACTAATCAGATTTTACACCTTACTCAGTCAGGCAGTTGATATAGAAGTGAAACCATACAAATGCAAATAAAGCAAAGTATTTAATATTTGGCCCTTAGTCAACATCAGAGAATTCACATTGGATAGAAACCTTTTATCTGTAGTGACTGAGAAGACACTTATCAAAAATATAAACTGAACAGTTTAATATTTATATTAGAAAAAACATGCAAATGTAGAATAGCAAAGCTTTTATTCATACATATGACCATAATGCAAGAGGATTACTGGAGAGAAATCACACAAATATGAAAAGCAGGGCACAGACTAACTTGTTTAAAATTTATTGGATAGTTTTAATTGGTGTGGTAGAAAAAGTAACCCTCACAGATGGTAAATGGCATAATCACTCACCTCTGAAGGGACAAAAATTTATTACAAATCCATGTTCACTAGCCTGTTTTCAAAATTGGATAAAGAACAATTCTCATGTAGATCATTGCATCAGAAGAACAGCACTGTTTCCTGACAGTTTAAATTCTTTTTTCTTAGAGAACATACATTGGCTTTTGAAATACTTCATTGAGATTATGTGTAAACTTTACTCTATTTTTTAAAATTTTTATTTGTACTTTAAAAAAAATTTTTATTTATTTTCCAGTACCAGGGATCAAACTCAGGACCTTGCAGTTGCCAGGTAGGTGAGGTGCCACTGAGCTACATCCCTGGCCCTATTGTTCACTTTTTGAGACAGGCTCTCACTATGTAAATTCAGGCCTTGAACTCACTGGGCAGCCCAGGCTGGCCTTGAACTCTTGGCGATGCTCCCGCCTCAGCCTCCAGAGTGTTGAGATTATAGGCATGTCCCACCATGCCTGGCACTTTACTCTTTTAATAAGTTAAAGTTAAAGGTTTTTAGTATGTGAAAACTGCAGTATTGAATGACGTGTTATTCTACAGAAAGCAAAATATTTTATCCTACTCAAGGTTGCAAATGACAGTATGAGCATACTATTGGATAAACAGCATAATGACATTTCTAGTAATTCTTTTCAGAATATTATTAAACTAGTAATTTGGAGAACAATATTCTCATAGTTCATATATCCAATAATTTTTGTCACTAATGGGAAATTATGATGGTTTTAGAAGTATAATAATAACCTCCAGCTTTCTAAATCCTGAATTGCTGACTATACAAATTGTCCTATAAATGTTTTCCGTATGTCACCACGTTAGGCCTACAAAGCATGCACAGACTTGGGTATTCATTTGCATTAATTCAGATATACAAATATCACAATTCAGTGACTTTAGGCATAAGAGAACTGTATCATGTATATGTGAATTTCTGTATATATTGAGAAGAAAAGGGAAATACTGAAAAGCAAGATGTATCAACAAAGTTGATACTTTATCGGCAAACTAGAAACTTCAGATATTCTGAATAAAACACTTTCGTCTACACTGAACTCATTTCTCCAGAATATCATGGTTCCTGTTTTAAAATCTTTCCACGCCAACTTTATCTTTTTTTTAAGCTTGCCTGTCACTCATGCAAGACTTACTGTGGCTTGCTTCACCAAAGTTTATGAAGTATTATATATCTCCCCTGTGCTGGGACTTTAACAATGGTTTTTATCATATTTAATGGTGTTCAGAAATTAATTTGAAAGTATAATTCCACAGTGACCACATTAAGATATATTTCTTCAATTGGTATATTTTATTATTTCCTTCTATATGGGATATGACTTTTGAGACTTTTATTAGTGCATGATAATATTTCATGATGATGGGAATTATTTTGGGAAGTTGATACACACAATTAACATATCTTAATCAATTTTCTTCCCATTACCTACTCTCCTTTTCTTCCTCTCCCATTTTTTCTCTTTCTTATCTCCAAAAGTCTGCCTTCTACTTTTCTGTTTTCTCTTCTTTTTATTATGTATTTTTTTTCTTTTTATTATGTATTAATTTATGTATTTTGGGAGTTTATCCTATGAGGGGAAATATATATTTACATTTCTGAGTCTGGCTGATTTCACTTTTGATGATTTCTATTTTCATAGAAATCATATGATTTCATTTTTTGACTGAATATTCTCTTTATCTTTCTCTCTCTATATATATAGTCTCACAACTTTTATTAATACATTTGTTGGTGACTAGGTAGCTCAGGTATGGTAAATGCTACTGCTACAAATGTGTATGCAATTATTGTATGCATGCTGTGTTTAAGCAGGAGTGGGACAGATTGCTCAACTGGTATTTCTTGTTCAGCCTTTTAATAAATCTCCATAATGTCAAAAAAAAAAAGAAAGAAAGGGTAGCAAGGATAGAGAGAGGTCGGGTAATGCGTACCAAAGTATGATCACATAGGGAGGAAGAGCTTCCAATGTTCTACACACAGAGAAGTGACTACAGCTCACAGGAATGTATTATATACTTTATAAAGAACAAAAAGAGAGGAATTCTGAGTTTCCCAACAGAAAGAAACGATAAACATTTAGGAGATGGAAATGCTAATTAACCCGATTTGATCACTACACATCTGATACATGTATCAAATTATCATACAATCCTGTACATAAATACGTACAATGATCAATTATTGATCAATTAATTACACATCACTTAAACCCAGCAAATGCTGTGAAAGGTCCCTCCGTGCCCCACACATGACAGGATGCTCCACCCTGCAGTGGACAGGCAGATGCTGATCACAACAATTGTATGCAGAAATACTTACAGGTTAACACAAATTACGCAGTGTGACAGTATCATGTGTGGAGACTGTGTGGACCAATAAGAGATCTTACACACTGATGATGATGTACATTGGTACAATCATTTTGGAAAACAATTTAGCAACATCTTCTAAAATTAAACATTTGCGAATGTATTAGCTCAGAAATTCCACTACTAAACATATATTCCAAGGAAACTTTTAGACATGGGTCCAGTGTCCACACACAGGTAAGACGACCACTAGGCAAAATCAAGAAACAATCTGGAAGTTCGTGATCAGGAGATGAATACACTGTCATACATTCACAAAATACTTAACAGCACTGAAAATGAACAAGCTATAGTTGAAGGCAACAATATACATACATTTTAAAGATAAAAATAATGTATGAAAATACTAATTTAATGACAATGTGATGAATTGTATCATTTTTATAAATCTCCTAAATAAGTGTAATTAAGTTATATATTGCATAAACATATCAATACACAGATAAAAAGTCAGCAAGAGAGTGAGAAGCACAGTGTTCAGACAGCAGCTGACTCCTGGGCAGAGGAGGAAGGAGGTTAAGCAGACCTGAGACTAGCTATTGGGCTGGGTGATGATTTCACACAAATTTGCGCTGCTCTTCATATATTCTTTCGTGAGCATAAGGCAGATTTTTAAGGTAATGGAAAACAACTTCGCATTAAGGAATCTTAAAGATGAAGCTCATACCTTCAACTATGCTGGACTTGGCAAGAAATCCCGAAGATGACTTCAGAGCTCCACTGAACACCACAAAACTAGCACCTGTCACTAAGAATAAAATACGACAGTTATTTGTTTTCACCTGCTCATTTTGTTTTACACGGTAGTAGTTAAATTCAGAATGTGGAACATGTGCATTTATGTACCCAATATATAACACATCAGAAATCCAAATCAAATAAAGATAAAACACTACATAAAAGTAATTCAACATTAATATCTAGTAAGTGATGAGCTATTACACGTTTTAAATGTTTGTGCTGAGTTAGCGTGGGTGTGGGATACTGCTGCGGGTGAGAGCCTGCATTACAACAATCTATGTGGAGCCTTGACTTGACAACTATACACTAAAATCACACCTAAACACAATCTTTGACACACACACCAACAGGACTTCCAGGAACCCACTCCACAGGCAGGTTCAATGGTGCCCAAAATGGCGCATGGACAAGGTTATTCACAGAGGCACTGTTATAAACAGCTGAGGAGCAACAGGCAACAGTTACATGATACACATAGAAAACAGAGAGCTCTGTGGGATGGGGAAGCTCTTCACCAACACTGAATCATCTGTAGGAAGTGTCTCAACAGAAAAACAGGCACAATGGATCAAATCCGCCCTGTCTACTGAGGTGCCGGGCGTGGGGGTACACGCCTGTAATTCCCTTAAGCAGGTGGCTGAGGCAGGACTGCCTTGAGTTCAAGGCTAGCCTGGAATACATAGCAAGACCCGGCCTCAAAAAACAACCCCCCCCCATAAAAAACTAAAGGGAAAGAAAGAGCTGAGGCCTGCCCACTGCCTGCAGGAGAGGAGGCGGCGGGGCGGGGCGAGGGAAGAGAGGAGGTCTTTTTCCTGCCGCAAACACATCAAACCTTTTGAATCTTATCGTGCAGTGAGCATTAAATACTAACAAGTTGTTAAACTTTAATGATGAAAAAGGCACAATACAAAAGTGTAACTAGCTAGCATAAAATGGCCTAACAGAGATGTGCAGGAATAGTCAGACGCCAGCAGCGCCTTCTCTAAGCCTGCCGCCAAGCCACGGTGCTGCCCTCGCCCCAGCCGCCCCCTCCTGGGGCATTCTCATCTCCCCAGCCACTCAGATGGACCCACAGGCATCCTGCTTCCCGTCTGCTCCCTGCTCCCCACACCACGCCCGACAGAACTGCTCCCAGACTCTGGCCCCACGCACCCACGCACCCACACGAGGCCACCCTGAGGACGAAGCCGGCAAGCCCGTGCCCAGGGCAGCCAGAGGGCGCAGCATTCTGAGAAGCAGCCTTCTTGGTCCACCTGAGATGCCCTGGCCAGGAGTTCCAGGCGGCAACCCGCGCACACCTCGCCTGTCCGGCCCTGGGGTGCTCACCTCTGCGTGCGTGGCCCGGCGCGCTGCTGGCCTGTGTGTGGTAGGTGCCAGCGCGCTGCACGCAGACCAGATGGGAGTCCGCGTCCGCGCTGAAGCTGGCTCCGATGCTGATGACGTGCTCGTTGGAGGAGTTCAGCACTTTCATCACCTGGAAACCACAACAGTCAGCCGGGTAGGAAAGCATCCTTTCCACCTACTCTGAGAATCAAATTCAGCACCAGCTCCATAATCACAGTGACCCCTCGAGATACGACCGGCCTGACATGACCTTGGATTACGACCGGAATTTTAACTTATGGCCCGAGTCTTGAGTTACGATCCACATGCTGGCTGCTTGTGCTTCCAGATGGTCTCAGATACAGATGTAACCCTTACAGAGTTCTGGAAGGAACATGACAGCATTCTTTCCTGTGTGGGGTTCACTGAGAAATCCTGGGCCAAAGTCTCTCTAAGGACACTGAGAGCTGCCTGTATATGGGAGAGAGACTTTGAAGGCTGTGTAGAGGAGCCTAAACCTTCAATGACCAACTCGAGTTACAACCAGCCCTCGTAAATGAATTGAGTTCTTAAGTCAAGGGTCCAATGTATCAGGCTTTGGTCTTGACAACTCCCTGTGAGTATGATGGAAATCAGTGTTTTAAAATAAAACTACCTCAGGCTGGGGATTTAGCTCAGCGGTTCTGCCACCTACCTTGCAAGCACAAGGTTCCAAGTTCGATCCCCGGTACCAAAAAAAAAAACCTAAAATGAAACTACCTTAATTAGCAGATTAAACAATAAGGAAAAAAGATTTTTAAAACAGGATTAAACAAATTCTTTATTATTAAACAAATTCTAAAATTTCAATTATTTGTATACTTAATTCAAAACAAAAAATGCAATTTGACAAAGTCTAAGGAACTCTGTAGAATATCAGATATTTAATATTTAATATTGAATTTAATATTTTAATATTCAATGCTGAATATCAAGTATTTAATATTTGAATAACATAATTATACTTACATCACTGTATTTTTTCCGAGGTATTTTTATACAGCTTTTCCCCATTTCCATATGAATCAACAGCTGATCTATATTATGCAAGGTATACTGGTAATTTCGAAGATCCTAGATAAATAATCACAGTCCATGAACTTTACAGTACTATCCATAAATATTCACTATCTGTCTGTTTAAGGCATTGGACACGTGGCTCTCAAAACGCCACCCAGAGAGCTGGCCCCACGTGAACGCCTTACCCTCCCAGCTATTTCCTGACAGAAAAAAGGAGCAGCACGCTCAGGAAGTGCTCCGCAGTCTCAGGGTCGCCCCTTGCTAGCCACAGACCTTCCGGGACAGACTGGGCCTTTGCCATAGCCTTCCTACGAGTCCTGAGGCCCTGTGCTGAGGCTTGGTCCCAGCCTGCGGCACTGTGGAGGTCATGGAACCTTGGGGCTGGTGGAAGGAGCTAAGGGTTTGGGGGTGTCCGTGAAGGGGACACCAGACTCCCACCACTGCTCCCTGCTTCTCTGTGCCTCCCGGGGACTGAAAGGCAAACAGGCCTCCCCTGCCTCGCCTTCCTGCCACGATGGACAGGGACCACGGCCTGAGCAGCAGGGCCACGCAACCATGGTCTGAAAGCCCTGCACCCATGAGCCACAGCTCAGCTTCCCTCCTTCCAAGCTGATCACCTTGGGCATTCTGTCACAGTAACAGGAAGCTGATGGGCAGTGTTCAAACCATGGGGTTTTTAACATGGGTTAAAAAAGGCACTCATTAAATTCCTTCCATAGTAACAGATAAACAGGCAATTACACAGGTTACGGGGAAGGGAACCTCCCCTAATCCAACCTGCAATCACAAGTGAGGAAACTAAAACATAATTTGTTCAGTCATAAAACTGACTTAAATAACATTCTTACTAATTTCAGAGGTCTGTGTAGAGGTCTCATATTACCTGAATATGTAAGAACTGCAGCAGAATTAATCAAAAGGCAATTAGAATCAAGTGCATATAAACGAGCAGCTACTATGTTCTAAAAAAAGCAACTAATCAAAAACAGGACCAATTTACATTAAATGAACCAGGATTATAATGAGCTCTCATTATACCAAATATGCCAAATTAAAATAGGAAAATAGAGGGGCCGGGGATTTAGCTCAGCGGCACTGCTGCCTGCCTCGTAAGCGCAAGGTCCTGAGTTCAATCCCCAGTACCAAAAATAAATAAATAAATAAATAAATAAAATAGAAAAATATACCTGTGAAATTTGCTAAATAATTAAAAAAAGTAATAGTATAAGGATACTTAATAAAATAGTTCAGTTACTTACAACAAGTAAGTTCATAATAGTATGTCCTATTTCTCCAAAAAGAGGTTTTCGGCCTCTAATACTTGTCAGTGGAGCAGGATATACTATACATAAGAAAGAAAACCTGGTTATTATCAAGAAAGACCGAAAAGTCTTGAGTTTCTTACATAATTCTCATTTTGCACACAGACATCATACATAGATAGCACACAGCCAGTTCTCAGGGCAGGGAGAGGACACGTTCACACCCGGTGCAGGCAACAGAGGCTTCGCTGAACTGGGGACCCTGTACGCATACATCAGCTGCTGCAAGCCCGCGGCACTCCAGCAAGTTTGTGTTCTACGCCATGCTACTTCACAGATAAGGAAGCTGACACAGAGACTAACACACGTGCTCACGATGACTAAGGTAACTGGCGAAACAGTCTTGCCTACTTCCAAAGCACTTGATCATTATATGTGTTGTTTCCACAAAATTATGTGGAGGGGTGAAAACTACAACAACTGCCTAGATGCTTATAAAATTTTCATATGTTAAAGAGAACTACAAAGAATTAAAGACTTTAAAGGCATTACAGGTAACACCCAATGGTACCACTCTGCAGATGGCATCCACGGTTCTAGTTCTTGGGTCGGCCATGATGAAAGGAGCATAGGGTTGGTGAACCCAGCACAAAGGAGGCAGAGGCAGGAGCTGTCACCTCACCGCCCACTTTCCCTTTTGTGGAGGGCAGAAGGAAAGCCGCCTCATTAGTGTAGTGCAGCAGGTGCTAGAAGGAAGAAAGGTGAGAAGGCAGGCAGGCCCGTGCCACAGTGACAAGAAAGCAGACGCATTCTCAGCTTCAGTTCTCAGCTGAAGTCACAGGAAACCCACCTCTAACACCTGCTACACAAATACACCTGCTCAAATGTCTGAGAAAACACCACGTCCTCGACACTACCGAGTTTAAAGACTGAACTCAGAGTAACCGCATCCCCGATGGTACAAACATATTTTGTAATTTTAAAAAGGAAGACTAAGTTATTGGAGGACAGAGGGTCTAGACTGGAAAAGAATAGTGTTAAAAGACATTAAAATGATAGAGGACATGATCAGGATAAATGCCAACTTTAAATCACCATCCTTTGTAAATTGTTAGAGGCGATTTTACTTGAAACACTATGCTCAAGAGGTTACAGGTTAGAAAGACCTACTACGAGTATATAAAGGGACCTGATCAGCCATCTAATCCTACAGTTAATGGTAATCCAAACACGCAGCCCCACATCAAAGTACAGACAATCCTCATTGGGAAGGTACTAATCTGAGATGGTAAGTTTCGGTCTTTATTTGGGGACTTTAATTTCTGTCATTAGCTTTTTCACATCCCCTCTGTAATAGAGTCCAAGTCATTTCTAAAGAGGCATGAGCGCCATTCACATCAAAGTGCCAGTTATCTAAAAACCCGGCAGAATATAAAGAACAGAGGAAACAGCTGAAACTAGTCCCGTCCATGTATAATTGACAGTGTTCCCTCATTACCACTCAACTGTTTGGCTCTGTAGTTCCAACCCCTGCAACCTCTGCAGAAGTCCTCACGTGGCTCCTTGACTTCCCAACCTTCCCTGTGAGGAAACCAGCCTTACTATCTGAAAGTGCTACTGGCCAAAACCCTGGCCATATGTCCAGATTAAGTGTCCCATTATGATAGAAGATTGGCTGGTTTATTTGCCATAATCTTCCACAAAAACTGCACTTAACAAACAACCTTCAAGCACGCTTATCAAGAACAAGTACTACGGGCTGGGGATTTAGCTCAGTGGTTCTGGCGCCTGCCTCGCAAGCGCAAGGTCCTGAGTTCGATCCCCGGTACCAAAAAAAAGAACAAGTATTAGGCTGAGGAGGAAACAGCATAGAATATCTTAATCTCTTTGGTTTACACAGAACAAAACCTGAGTTGTCAGTTTTTACACAAGTTAATAGACTCATATACTTAAATGCTAAATGGTAAGGAACTCCTAACCACAAATCACACATTTTAATAAAATCTGACAAGCAGAGGGCCTTAATCCTTTCATTTAAACTGCCCACCCTGAAATCATAATCATTTTTATCTTATGTATTACACAGGCAATACATACTATTATTTCTTTTAAAACCCAAGGATAAACATATGTAGGAATTCCAAAACAATTAAGACTAGAAATGATTTTGAAATAACAATTTACAAAAACTGGACCAGCACAACAGTTTAAAATCTCCAGTGGTGCCAAAAGTAGATGGTAGATAGATATATTCATATGACAAATGATACGGTCTACATCACTTCAGCTAGCTAAATATTGGGAAAATAAAAATAAAAATGAGGAACTTAAAGCTTACGAAAATGGCAACCACTATTTTCTCTAAAAACAGCTGATGCCTGATCACAGTCAGCAGGTGAATGCAATACCACTAATAATCCAAAAAGTCTGTTTAATTTTATGACATTAACAGAGAGGGAAAATAATTTACCTTCTGAATACATAGGCAACATAAAACTCTCAGAAAAGTACATGTTTTAAGAAAACATTAACAAAAGTAATATTGTCGAAATGCTGTTTTGTTTAGAAATTAAAAATATTTAAAACATGTTACTGTAGTTTATGAACATCTAGACACTTTGCAACATAATGAGGTCTAGACTAATGCGGTAGTACGAGAGGCAGGGAGGCTGAGGCCAGGGCATCCTAAGTTCAGGTCCTGCCTTCCAGCTCAGCAGGACCCTGTCTCAAAAAAAGTTTAAAGAGGATGTAGCTCAGTGGTGTAGTGCCCTTGAGGTCAATCCTCCAGAAGTCGAGAAAAAACAGAAGTATCCCAAATTAAAGTAGTTCGATTAATCTGGTAAAATTTTAACAATTTCCCTGAAATTCTTACTTTACATTCAGTATGCTTGAAATATGTAACCTAACTTATTATTCTAAAACTTACCTTTATATTCCACACCTAATCTCAACATTAAACGTATAGGAAAAACCTTTGCCCAAGGAATTTCCAGCTTGTGGATAAGAATTCCAAACAGAAAAGGACTACTGGGCAATGGGAGATCATCAAGTTTCTGAACAGTAGGCGTAATAAACAGGACTCCTCCGTGATCCTTGCTACCGAGAAAACTCTCAGTAAAGGCAACACTATCCAAGTCTTCTATGTATTTTCCTGGAAATAAAATTAATAAAAAGATTTTAAGCTCTTTTATTATTGTTGTGATGCAATGTTTGGAGTATGATGTCCCAATGTAAACCAAAAGCAATGTACCATTTTATTTTCTTATTTCTACTTTTAAAGATGCATCTATTTAAGACACTCTGTGTGCAAAACTCAGTTACTGCTGGATACTGGGGACTGGGAACAAAAATTTGAAAATGTTTCCAATCTTACATGCCTTAAAATTTTCCTCTTTCCTGGATGATCACAAGAAAATTTATCATGTGCCCCAATCTGGTACGGATGGTAAGAACAGTACATGGATATATTTAAAAATTAAGGCATTAAGGGCCAGGAATTTAGCTCAGTGGTGCCGCTGCCTGCCCTGCAAACGCAAGGACCCAAGTTCGATCCCCGGTACCCAAAAAAAAGAAAGAAAAATTAAGGGATTAAATATATTTCTTTTTTAAACTTAAAAAAAAAATCTCTATACTCACTCATTACATAAAATGCTAGTTTAAAAGGAGACTAAAAATGCTCTTTTAAGGAATCAGAATTCTTTTCACAAAATGAATCTGCAGTGTAGGTGGCAGACCAGACCACAAGCGCCTTCACTTATCCACCCCTTCCTCCCCTGCACAGTTTGAAGTGAGCGCTGTACCTCTGAGCGCATCCTTGTACATGGTGAGGAACAGTCGGAAGATGTCCCTGGGAACTGTATCTTCATTTGGCAAACACAACAACAGAATAATAATCTCTGCCTGTCCCAGGCCATGCAATCCATTGGTGGAGAAGTACCAATATTTATCTGAGGAATCTGAGGAATAAAAGCATACAACTGTAAATGCCAACTTCTGTTAACTGAAGAAACTAAACATTGTTTCTGCATAAAGCACTTTTCAAACCCGTACTTTCCCAAAATTCTCTTCATAAAAACCTTAAGTTGAACTGTGTAAGATTCACCTAAGAAAATAAAAAGGACTACCTTATGGAGTGAAATAATAACACTAAAAAGATGCACTAACTTGCCGAATGTAGAGTGTCAAAAATTAATTATTTTCTAAGCGAAGGCAAAGTTTATAAATGCACTGCTGAATAGAGGAGACTGTTTACTTCCTTACTTTCAATTACACCACAATTACTGTTTTTATCGCTGCTAAGTAAGACATGATTCTCACTTCTCTCATTTACCAAAGTTCAATTTATCTAAAAGCTACAGAAATAGTAATTGCACAGTACACATCAAATATACCTCAGCTGTAAGCCCATGATCTGAACTAGGATGCTGCTAAGAATCTGTAAACTCACAGCAAGTCCCACTGGATGCACACTTGGAAAATGAATTTGCAGTCTATCTGCAGCCAGCATCAAATTTTGCTTATTTTTCCCTTATTTTTCAGTCAAAATCTGATTTGAAGATGTAATTACTTTAGAAATCTTGCTTACCAATTAAGCAGAGAAAGATAAATCATTACTTACAAAGTATTAATCTGACATTCACAAGCAGATTTGCGTTTAAGACAAAGGTGGCAGGAGGAGATCCTTCACTCTGAAGCAGTGAACTGATCTGTTCCGGAGACGGGTGCTCTTCTACCGCAGGCACTAAGCAGAAGTAAAATGCCAATCAGGGTCAATATCGTGTTGGACACATTCACAATGAAACAAAACCCCACACATATGTAAGGCCACCAAAGGCCCAATCAAGTTTAAAAACCAAAGCAAACAGGCTTCCTAACATCAACTAACATCCTGTGTAACTGTTATACACTCAGTTTTTACTTTCCTATCCAGAATAGATTTTAATACTGTAAAACATAAATTTGACATATTATATTGGATATGGCATATACACAAAACACGGTAAATGGCACAATTATAAAATTTTAGTATTTTTAAGCTTTAAAACATTTTTGTCAAAAGTGCATTCTCCTTTGTTGGTCGCTCCAATCCTAACGTCTGAAATTTACAAGTCTGAGACAACCTAGACCCAAGATATACTTGCTGCTGGTTGCTACCTGTCTATGGCAGTGACAGGTGCAACAAAACCACAAAACACAAGAGCACAGCAACCAACATGCAAAGAACAAAGAAGGTTCACGACTTTGGTCAGGAAGCTGTGCTGCCACACTGGTCCTCAGGACAGAACAGAGACCCTAAGCATCACTCACTCCCTACATTAACTGCCATGCAGAGGGCCACGGGCACCGCATCAGCACGCAGCGGAAGGCCAAGGTGGCAGGTGTCTCTCCCAGGACCACCCTGGGTGAGGGCTGGACACACAGTCTCCAGCTTAAAGGACTTAGCGATCATGAGGAACTCAAACTCCCCCCTGGATTACTTTTTTTTTTTTTTTTTTTGGCAGTACTGGTAACTAGATCCAGGCACTTCACACTGAGGTGCATCCCCAGAGCTTTCAAATTTTTTATTTTGAGACAGAGTTTTGCCAAGTTGCCCAGGCTGGGCTTGAACCTGCAATCCTCCTGCTTCAGCCTCCCACAGTGCTGGGTTATAGGTGTGTACCACCATGCCTGGCTACAATTCCTGGTTTTGTCAATATTCGTTTTCTTCGGGTATTAGCCTTCTTTAGAAAAAGACCTACAGTCAAAATGCTAATATAGCGGGAACATTTCTGAAAGTCTGAGTTTCCTACTGTATTGGATTTTGACTCATTCTAAATTAGGGACACAAACATGATAAATGAATCATAAAAGTTCAAATCCTTCAGGGTTTGCTTTTACATAATAACTTTTTGTCAAATAAAGTTATCAGCCCCAGTACTTATAACAAAATTGTCTAAGCTATAAAAAAATCCTTTGCAGACAAAAAAATTCATCAGTACCCTCTTTCTAAAAGCATTCTTTTTAAATTTAAAGTAGCTGCTCTCCTACCTGATCCCTGACCTCCAGAAGCACCCAGAAGTGGGGGCAAACCATGCTCATCATCAGGTAGGAGACTGATCTTGCTGCAAACATGCTTGTCAACACAACACAGTAACCCGTAATCTGAAACACCAGTCACCGGAAAAATGCTGTTAACTGTGACACCCAGAGAACTGGATGGTGCCTCAATTTCTGCAAAAACATCATCATCCAGGGTAAGAGAAGCAGAAGGTAACGTGACGGTTCCCATGTCTGTCGGCAGTTTTTCCACAGACGGGACATGGGAAACAGGACTCCCAATGCTCTCGTTTCTTGAACTGTCTCCTAGCTTATTGTTTGGTTTCTCCACTGTGGTAGAACAGGCAGGGTCCACTGTGTTTACCATCTATAAAATATGGAATAAAAAATTAAGTAAGTTCATGCTCTCTGTTCAATCATAAAATGCTCATCTCTGTAGCAAGTATATCCTGTTAATCAGAATACTTAAAAACCAGAATGGGTGCATAAATTTTACAGTCACACTTCCCAAGAAACAGTACCATCTTGCTGCTTTGAGTTCCAGAGTCTATGGCATTAAGGAGCACGGGGTTTTGCTTTATTGCCCGCTCAGGAAGGTACTACTGACTGGAATATCATAGACAGGAGAAGAGCAAGAAGCTGGGGCCCTGTTCCAAATCACATAGTGAGCAAGTGACTCAGTTCAAGACCCTTCTCATCTAAGACGGGCAGGGGACAAAGGGAGAGCAGGGAGGGAGGAGGGAGGTGGGTAGGAAGCAGATACATTGCACAGTAGCAACCACCTACAATAAACTACCTGCCAAGTCCACTTCAAAGAACCACTTTCTTTTTTAATTAGCCAGAATCAATGTTAAATGAAAACCAGTCGTGAACTCAAGTGCTATTTACCAGCCTGTTTAGAACTTTCATTCTGCTGAACTGTTGACTGGGAGAGGCAGCTAGGTAAGGAGCATACTAGCTCAGGAACTCCTTCTTACAAATGTCATAGATGATGCATCTTCTGTTTAAACCTAGCACATCTGCACAAATGCAAGCATGACTATACCCAGCAGATACTTTTCTGAATGTCTGACAAAACATTAAATCACTATTAGTCTAAGTTACTACATCTCAGTTACATTTCTCTACAGCAGGCGTTCTCGAAATATGGCCCAGAGATCTCTGGGTCCCCAAGATCTTCTCAGGGAACCAATGAGACCCTAGAATCTTCTTCATATATTTTTAGTATATGTGCTGCCGAAGTGAGCACATAGGATCTCCTTCATATAATAAAAACGTTCCAAAGCACTCAATGGAGAAGCCAATGTGAGACTCTGTCTTCTACTGAGTCACACATTAAAGAAATTTACAAGGGTCGGGGTGTAGCTCAGTGGTAAAGTGCTTCCCTAGTATGCTTGAGGCCCTGGGTTTATCCCCAACATCACAAAAAAGGAAAAAAACCTGCAAAAACATAAAACAACGTAATTCTTACTAAACTATTGGTTTAAAAATATTATTTTTCCTAAAAGTATTATTTCTACCAATGTAATGGATTATTTTTAAATTAAATGTTTTTAATTTTCTCAATTTTAATTTTAAATATACAATAATTATCAGTAGGTATAATCTACATATCGTTTAGTCCTTGGAGGTCTTCAATATCTTTTAGAATATAAGGGAATCCTGAGACAAAAAAGTTTGAAAACCACTGCCTTAAACTAATATAAAAAGAAAAAAGGTGAAATCTGAAACAATATTCACTACATCAATAGCACATTCCTCAGGGACACTGTGGGTTCAGTTCCAGATCGCTGCAGTCCCATCCCATGAAGTTTGGGTTTCCCAGTGGATATAAAGGTTATGTTACAGTCCCCTAGAGTCTATGAAGTGCGCAGTAGCTTTATACCTGCACACACTAATTACACAACACTGACAATCGTCTGACTTGCAAAACTGGTGCCAGAGGACCTTCCGTGCAGGGTCGCCGAAGCCTCCCTCCTGTGGTAACTAACACAGCGTCCACAGAGCGCAATGCAACGTCTGCCTGCATGTTTCTTAGGTCAGGAGACCCACAGCATTCCAAAGACAGGCCACTGACAATCACATGAGAGGTCGTCTATGAACATGATTTTCTGTCACAAACAAGTGACTTCTGTTCCCTACCGTGGGCACAGCCAGTAAGGGAGGAATGCAGTCTTCAGAGCATCTTTTACTTCCAGATGACAGTTTTGTTGTATCTGCAACTTCACCATTAGGCAGGATGCCATCTGCAAACCACACTCTCTTCTGTTCTCTGGAGCCCAGTCCTAGAATCGGGGGGACAGTAAATCATTTCAGTCTGGCTGCACTGCAACAATGAGATGCTGAACGGCCAGGAAATGTCTTCAAGAGTGTTTGGCTATCCAACGGCAAGACCTGTACTCTCAGGCTGTGAAGGCCTAGAGAAAAGGCTTTTCGTGATTTGTCATACTGAGCAGAGCCCTTTTCTGTGAATTTCACACACAGGAAGTATGATGGCCAAGTGTGCATGGAGATCACACCAGAAGACCTGAAGCCTACATCACGGAGGCTGGGTGGGGATCAAGGAGTCATGACTGAATAAAACTTAGGGACTAAGGCACAGGGCTGAAAAGCCATCATGAGAACACACCAGGTAACAAAGAAAAACACTGAAGCGAAAGACTGAAAAAGGAAACAGGATCATATGTACATTCAAGAGGTGATTTATTTAACAGAGAAGTGATACTGGTTCCGTTCTTATAATGTGGATACAAAGCCTTATACATATGAAGTAAGGTATCTTTCTAGCATTTGTAACTTTTTTTGGTAACATTTTTATAAATTAATTTAGGTTGTTGATATACTTTTTAGACACAAATTTATTCACCTTTAGAGCTATAATACACAACCATGTAGATGAACTGCTTATTCAGTTACAATAAAAAACAGTCACTGAGTGATAAAGTCCAAAAATAACTGCCAGAGGATCCAAATCTGCCTGAAGCTGATATTTATCACTATTTTCTAGCACACTACAATCTTCAGTCCCCAGATGATGTTTAAATGGGCTTTACTCAAGATTCTAAATGAGAAAGTAACATACAACTCAAAGATTTAAAAGTATTTAGATTTAAAACACATTTTATTATTGTGGTAAAATAGATTAAAAATAATTAAATAAAAAACTAGAAGAAATAAAACAAGTTTTCGAAGCACAGGAAGTACCTCAGTTATTATTCCGTGTCTCTAAAACCCTCACGTGCCCTCTCCACGCTACTGTGGTTGCTGGGCTGAGGCCTGGAAGGGTGGCTGCCAGCCCCGCGCTGACTGCTGCCCATGCTCAGGTCCTGCCTGCCGGGACCCCGCAGCAGGTGCTGCAGGACACAGGTGAACTCCCAGCACCACCGTGTTCCCACCACCTTCCTGTGTTCGTCCTGCACACCCTGCAGGCCCTGGACGGCCCCAGCACTGCTCACAGCTTCGGCCGTGAGATGTACACGCCTGCTCCCAGGTCTGCGGGCCAAGCGTTCCCTAAGCACCACGGTCCAGCTCAGGAAGCCTCCCTCTGCTCTTCTGGGTTCCACCGCAGGGGTGGTGCTGCTTCTCTGTCTGTCTCTGGGCACCTGAGCATGCGCTCTGGCTCCTCTCGCCTCTGACACACACGCACTGATGCCCGGCACCAACTCCCTCCTGAGACTCAGTCTGCTTTCTCCGTCTGCCCGGTCCCTGACAACCCCAGATGGGTTCTATGTACATGCGCTATGTGCTTCCTGTTACCTTCAGCGCTGGGCTGTTTCAGAGCTGAGGTGGGCAAAGCTGTCGGAGAAGGCACACTGGTCGGCTGGGGCTCCTGCAGGGCCGGGCTGGCAGCAGAGTCGCCAGGGTGATGAGCCTGCGGACTGGAGCCAGTGGGGCTCATCATCCTTTCAAAGGCCTGAGCTGGACAGGGGAAGAGCAGTGTCAGAATCTCACATGGCTTTGAACTTGAGAGTAAACTGGGACAAATATTTGATCTTTCAAGTTGTACAGAGAAAGGAACCAGAACTGGCATGTGGCACAGACACTGTCTGAGTGACTACCTCAGCACTGACAGCGCCGGGGAGCGTGGGGCTGACGGCCACCACCCGTCACTTCCACGAACGCCTGGCACGCTCTAGGCCACTGCAGACCAAGACGCGGTTTACCACGTCTGCTTCCTGCATGGCGCAGAGGGTTTCTTTCAGACACAAGTCTCTGTCTTGCCGGTGCTTAGTTAAAAATCCATCAATGGGCTGGGAACGCAGCTCAGAGGTAGGGTGCCGGCCTAGTGCGCAGGAGGCCCAGCACCGGAAAACAGAAAGAAGAAAATCCTCGAATGGCTTCCTAAGGGGAGTGAAAGGTTGTTAAAATGGTCCACGAGACCAACGCAATCTGCACCCACCTCCTGCTCCATCCCGATGCCGGCTGACCTCCTCTCTGCAACCCTAACGCAGCTCTGCGGAGGAGCGCCCGCTCCCCCAGGGCTCCTCTGACAGATGCCTGCGCAGCTTCCCTCTCTGCCTTCACTGCTCCCACAGGGCCCTGCACTAGCTGCCTGCCCGCCTGCCACCAGTCTGGCACTGGCCTCTTGCAGTTTAAGCTGCCTTCAAGGGCATCCTCACCATGTGAGCGCCTCTCCATGCACAAGCTTCAGGAGAGCACTCCCCAGCCCACCTCCTCTCCGTGCCGCCTCAGAGAGCAGGGACAGCACCAAGGGGACTCACGCGCCCTCCACTCTGGGTCTCAAAGTCCTCTCCAGCTCGCCCCGTCCACCTACTGGTACTCACGTGCACAGTTCCTTAAAACTCACTCGACCGCGCCACAAGGGCCTGTTACCTGCACTTCTGTGCAAGAATCTTCCCTGCCATCCCTTCCCTGTGTCTCGCAGCCCGAGTCACCTTTCTCATCAGAAAACACTACTCAGTCACTTCTTCCATTTTCAACCAATAGAAATTACCTACAAATAGTCCCATAAATGAAACTTTATCCTATAACAAGACAGAATAAATAGAACAAATACTGTAACTAAACTCATTCTACAATGTCCTTAATAAGGCGAAGAAGCATTGATTATCAGTATCCTGAATCTTTTTAATGATTATGACTTCTCCCCTCTTGGACCTTACAGTCAGAATATGTCTTAATGCTCATCCAAAAATCTGACCTGTCAACTCAAATAATACATGAAATCTCTATCTTCATTTTTTAAGTGGGGGAGAGAATTATGTGGGCACCTGCTCTAAAATTTCTGAATTCACACATATTGCCTTGGCCAACAGTACAGCAGGCGTCAGCTTTGAGGCTGCTGAACCAGATTAAGAGCAAACAGGCCACCAAGAAGCGCTTAACCTGCTCTTGAGCAACACCAGCGAAACAAGACGATTTGCACCGTCATCTTCTGGAGTATGCGTCAGCACCAGAGAAGAAAGCAGCTCACCTCAGGCTAACAGACTCGCATCAGAGATTTTTGGAGAACTGATGAAAAAATTTACCTTCATTCAAAAGAAAAAAACCGAGTATTGCCATGTATGTGTTCTGCTGGCTAGCAGAAAGAAGTGCCTGAGCTAATGCACAGGTCTGGTTAAAAAAGAAAAAGCCCACATAGTATTTTCTGGGAATTAACTGTCAACAAATCTTTGAAGGTGTAAGAAGTACTTAAAAGAACATATTTAGGGGGGAAATACAAGATAACACACACGTGTGCACACAGCCTGAGAACGCAGAGACCCCGGGACCACGCTGACAATGGAAGTCAGCAAGAGGCATGGACATGATGGAAGCAACACAGGACACTGTACAGTGAGAAGGGACATGGCAGACAGATGCGTGCAACAAGGTGGCAGTCCCATGAGCTTACAGAATCAGACAACTACAGCCGATCTTCTTCCAGTCTAGGTTATTCTAAAGGGTGGAACTATCACTCGCCTCGTGCCATCAATACACAACACCGAGTACTGTTTACTGGTGGGGACGTCATAAATGTTTAGCTCATGATGACGATGATGACGATGATGACAAAAACAGACAAGCAGACGAGGTGCAGCAGGAAGGACTTGGTACCTGTTAAAAGGTAATGCACTGTCACTCCAGAAACTGAACGCTTCCTTTGCAGACTGGTAGTGTTAATTGTGAGAGTGGAACAAAAAGAGAAACCAAGCCTTGGGTCCCACCTAAGCCAGATAAGCCAACACTAGGTCCTTGCCTTGAGGAAATAGAGAAGTTCATCTTTGTCACAATCCAGTCGTTTGTAAGGCATATTCAATTACTGGAGGAAAACAGTCAAGTGAGTACTCACCTCTGTTAATAGTCTCATAGCAGATTACACACACTCTTGCTTCCTTTTCTAGATAAGGCAGCTTACTCTTCCTGTTACAACAGACACCACAAAATACCTATAGAAAATGAAATACCAAATTTGTGTTTGTTTCAAGCATACTACTTGAAGCATACTAGAGACCCCAAACCTTATTAACCAAAGCCCCCGTTCTTTATGATTTACAGTGGAACCTTGGTTCGCGAACACTTTTGTTGGCAAACAATCTCATTCTCAAACAAAAGCCTCTGGCAAAATTTGTTTGCAAACTTTGCATTGGGTGACAAACAAGACTGCAGCCATCTTTCCCACATAAACACAAAGGTGGCCATCTTTCCCAAAATCGTGGAACAAATTACGCTCATAAGCCAAGGTACCATCATATTTTCCTAATCACCATCACAAGTAAAATTCTTAAATGATTTAATTTAAATGTGGTTCTGTCATTTATATCTCTGATAAAAATTCCTTTAATTCTGTTCATTGAAAAGAGAATAAAAATTTCCAGTGTGTAAGTTTAATAAAATTTTCTGTAATTCTTATTTAGAACCTTTACAAGTAGAGAATTATTTTGCTAAGGATAAGAAGGATGGTCAGTAACCAACACCTTAGTGAAAAATGCTAAATAGAAAGTGCATCCTATGCCTCAGGCGCTTTCCTTAGTTACAGACAGCCTCTGCACCGATGACTGCTGCGAGGCCGGCTGCACCTGCTGTCAGTGTTTCCCTGGGCAGCAATCACCATGCAAGCTGCAGAGTGCTCTTAAATTAGGTGTTCAAGGACAAGGGGGGGGGTCTGACTGAGTGTGCTGTGCAAGTATTAGACAGATAAGGACGCATTCTTAGCTTTCGCAAAGCAGTAAGTGTTCCTCACAGATATCCATGATAATAGGATATTTACTCAGCCATCAGATAATCTGCGAAATGGGAGTTCTTCACTGATTTCCAGGATGAGATGACTATGAGATGAAAGGCAATGACTTTAAGCACAATCATGTAGCCTTGTTTATCAGCCTTTCCTGTCATCAGATTTCATTAAAAATGCCTCAAAGAATAAAAGCGCTGGGCTGAGCATGGACCTCAGGGGTGGAGCACTTGTCTACTACATGTGAAGCCCTGGGCCTGAGCCCTAGCACCAAGAAAAAAAGATGAAGATTTCTGTAACTCACTTTCCCACATGCTCGGCAGTGGTGTCGCCGTTTTGTAAAAGTAAATTTGACCTGGCAATTCATACAGTTTGGAGCTTCTGAATCAGGAACCCAATTAGGCTGTTTCTGGCCCAAAGCCATGTCTTCTTTGCAAGTATTTTCAGGCAGAGAATCTTCATTTGGAGTTAGGAAGCTGGACCTGCCTTCCAAATTGCTTTCTATATCAATGTAGTTAGAGTTGAAGCTGGCCTGAGCGTCACCCGCAGAGTCGGGAGGACATGGAGGTGGTGCAATGGCATCTGCTAAGCTGGCTTCACCTTCTGGCGCACTCGGAACATCTGGCTTCCTCAGGTCCTTGGAGACCCTTGCTCGTGATGCAAGGCTACTGGACTGCTTAGGTCTAGCCCCTCCAACATGCACAGACTGGCTGCTAACATCAGAGCCCAGTAGCTCATCTGGCATCTCAGCTGGGCTGGTAAGGGACCCTTGTTCAATGGGAACTGTGCTTCTTTCCTGTACACAAAGGACACTGTTGTCTATTGGACTTTGTTTATCAACTGTTTCACAAATCATATTAATACCATCACTTTCCCCAGTGGCTCCTGCTTCCACTTTGCAATAAATATCACTGACATTTCCATCACCGAGGTCTTTCATATCTATCTGATTCATACGAGATTTTGAGTCATTTACATTTTCTTCAAAAGACATTAAGTTAGAGGTCTGAAGGTACTGTTCTGTCAAGAAGGCATCCAGCTCGGCGTCACTAACGAGTGTGCCATTTCTCATGCTTTCATCAATATTGAAGTAGTCTAAGTCCTGCTCATCCATGTCACTGCCTAAGAAAGTGAGACCGGCACAACCAGCCTGACAGCCGGGGGCTTCAGCCCCCAATAGCTCCAGCTGGGACCCTGCAGTTGTGGAGGAACTGGGGGGACCGGGGGCACCCAAAGCCTCAGCTCCGATTCCCATCTGCTCAGGTTCTACCTTTCCCTCTCTCCTCTCTTCATGTTCTGGCTGAAGAAGTGTGTTTTTACATTTTTCCTCTTTCATAAGATCAGCCTGCCCAACTGGCTCCCTGTCTAGAACAGCATTCTCCCGCGTTTCCTCATGCACCATCCCTGTATGCTGTATATGATCCTTGGGTTCCTGCTGAGGTAAACAGTCACCATGTGCTTTACTGTCAATGACTGAGCTGCACAAAGAGCCAGGTACTGAAACACAGGACAACGAGGAGAGTGCTGCTTCACTGGAAATATGGAGAGCTGACGGGGAATTGTGGATTGCATCATTATCTTTACGGTCTAAATTTCTGGAGTCGTCTTTTGCAGACTGTTTTATAGACATAGCAGTTCTATCTTCCTGACAGGAAAAGTCAGGTAATTTGAAATTTTCATCTCTTGAGTTTGAGTCACTTAGGTACAAACTTTCATTTTTTGGAAGACTTTCGCAAGGCAAAGCACTTGTGCCGCCTCCTCCTTTTAAGCATTCAGTGGCAGGTGCAACCATTATATCTACTTCCTCCGTCACCAAATCTACTTCCTGTTTCCCCAAACAGCCACCATCTTTGAATAAATCCCCCGGCGGGCTCTTGTATTGTAGATTATCTTTGGTATCACAAATTCTGGAACTCTGCTCAGTCAAAACAGAGGTCACGTTAGAGTCAACAACTGGGTCTAACTGACTAAAGATCTCTTCATCCTTTAAATTTTCGGTTCCATCATATTTACAAGAGTCTGAAAGTGTGGTTTCTACCTTTATAACCGATTCTTCGGTACCACCACCTTCTTTGTTCTGTAAGTCAGAGCTCACATCATTCTGTTCTTCTGCGACAGGACCATTCCCATTGTCTGCTGATGGGACAGAGAGAGCATCTGAAACTGCAGAGGAATCCAGTCCAGGCAAAGAATCTCCACTAGACTTGAAGTCACCTGGCAGTAGTTTTTTAAAATCTTCTTCACTGTTAGCTGCACGAGCCAAGCTACCCGTGTCACTTATCAGGTCGCAGACAGGTTTACTACATCTCATGTACGAAGACGGGACGCCATGTGAAGCCCCAGCATCAACGGAAGAGAGGAGGTCCAGTCCTGCTACATTTTTCTCATTCTGTGCAAAAGTCAGTCCCTGGAGTGCTTTTTCACCGAGGGAACTCTCCTTCGCTTCACAGCATGTTTCTGAGGAGCCATGACCGCCAGCACTTTGCCGGTCCTTTGGTAGCACTGAAGGTGGCTGTGAAGGAGTCACCTCTGAAGGGACTGAGCAGTTCTTAGAATCATATGCATTCGGAACACCTTGGCAATCATCTTGTTCATCTAATCGAAAACAGAGACACAAAATTATTCAGGACACCCAAATCAAATAAAAATGATCAAGACAATATGTTTTGTAAGACTTCTAAACTAAATAGACTGTCTCTGGCTTTAAAGTACTGTATTTTCTGCTTTTTACTCTTGAATATAAAGTGATAGAATATAAAAGTGATTGAATATAAAGTGATGTCATAAAGTGAGAGAAATTCCACTTATGACTCAGTTACACTACTAATCTAGTCTAAGGAAGAGCTGACAGTCAACCTTCTTTGTTCGGCTCCCTGTTTCCTTGCCTTTACTCTGAGGAAAATGCCACTTCTCGAACTCAACTTGTGACCTGCTTTCAAAGTACTTTTAGCATGCTCATGAATCGGTTTGATGGTTCTTGCTTTAGCTAAACTTGTATCTGCAAAGCAACTACTAGTTCCCCGACTTCTATTGCTGGCTACTCGCTCCATTTTGCATGAGAATAAACTAATATGTTATATAACAAAACAGGAGAACTTTTTTCAGAAGATAACAATGTGACCAAAATGGAAATCACATTTTGCCAAGAGCACTCTATACCTGAGATAAGTGAATTACAGACATTTAAAAATCCTGGTAGAGGCAAAAGGGGAAACCAACAAACCTGGGTTCTGTTCAAAGTCATCAAGGAGTTTGTCCAAGTCACTGACAGCTGCTTTAAAATAACGATCCATCTTACCTCTAACGTACTCAGAATTTAATTCTTGTATGTCTGGAAAATAAAAAGTGTATTTTGCTTAATTCTCTAAAATATAAATGTTATACCATCTATTATTCCATCCTAGGAAACACAGGAAATAGAAACAAAAATTACATTTAGTAGCACTTATTTGTGAAGTCTACAATTTAGGCAGAAGAACTCTATGTATGGAAAACTCTATTAACTTTTCCATGCACAAGCCATTATGAATTTCAAAGCACTTATCTAAATAACTTATGGATCAAAGAATTCACAATGAAAAGCTAAAATACTTAAAAATATCACATGTAAAATAATATAAAATATACTACATACAAATAAAAATACTACATAGAAAACTAAAAGTTTTATAAAAAGAGGCATAAAGTGGATGAACCTTTAAGCCTGAGACACTCTACAAAAACCTCTCAGTGGGCCAAGGATTTAGCTCAGTGGTTCCAGCGCCTGGCTTGCAAGTGCAAGGTCCGGAGTTCAATCCCTGGTACCAAAAAAAAAAAAAATCTCTCAGTGACAAATAGGATAACCTCATGGGACAGAGGCCAGGCTGAAAGGGCTCTCACTGGCCTCAATAGGACAACTGAATATCAAACGAATGAAGACCACAAAAGACTGAAAAAAAATCAATCAGATTTTTCAAAGACCCAAGAAATCGTAAGGACACTAAAACAAAAAACAAAACACTGTTCATTAGAGGATTGCTAGGGCACCAAACTATTACTCTGAAAATTATTAATTATGGGCCAAGGTCTGCCCTGCCCTTTCTTTACAAAACATAAGTTCAGGGTAATAAAATAGTTGCGGTCCACCTGTCCCCCACAGTTTTGCTCAGTTGCCTAGGCTGGATAAGAATTCCCATTAATAATGGCTGAAGGATGCTAAATTTTTTTTTTTGGTACTGGGGATCAAACTCAGGACCCTGCACTTACGAGGCAGGCGGCGGCACCACTGAGCTAAGTCCCCGGCCCTAAAATTTTAAAACTCATTTCTTCATCATCCTTAATGCAATTAATGAAGTAGGTATGTTAAGGCTGTCAGAGGGCAAGGCTGATGGGAGCTTCATTCAGGAGGTGGGGAGGAGGTCAGCAGAGCTGAGCTGGTGACAGGTTTCCCATAAACAAACGTGTAAGAGCACCACCACCGAAAACACTCCTACCTACACTGACCTGAGTCTAATCAAAACTGCAGAACTAACTACATGTCTGTAGGAAATTCAAGCACAGATGGACAAGTTAAACGACCTAAGAAGAAAATAACCTGTTACATTAATCCAGAAGAACTTCGCGGCACTGTTCATCATCCTGTCTATGAGAAATGACTAGGGTTTTTGTTTTGTTTACATTTCCAATCTGTTACAAACTGTTACTTTTGTAAAAACACAATAAAACAATATAACTGTGTAACAGCAAGTACAAAGAAAAGACACATTACTGAATGGTTGAATGGTGGACAGGAGTGGGAAAGAGGGGAAAAGATAACAAATGACAGAGGCCTTGAAGAGAACCAATCTCGCCTGAAAAAGAGGGTGGGAGGGAGGATGGAGGGAGAGAGGAGAGAGACAGAGATTTATACACAGGTTAAAAAGATTAGAGCTCTCACCACGCCTGCCTTGCAAGCACAAAGGTCCTGAGTTCAATCCCTGATACCAAAAAAAAAAGATTAGAGCTCAAGAGCGAATGGAACTAATTGGGAGATCTACTGAGGATAGTACCCAAAATGAAGAAATAAATATGAAAAAGTTAAAGAGACACAAACAGAACAAGAATAGAGTCCCACAGGGAGAAAAGAGAGTAGAAACAACTTCATTTGAAAGACCATGCAGGCTTTCCAGAACTGATGAAAAACTCAACATGGTAAACACATTATACCAAACAATAGAAAGAAAAATGCAGGGCCAGGGATTTAGCTCAGTGGTTCCACCGCCTGCCTTGCAAGCGCAAGGTCCCGAGTTTGATCCCTGGTACCAAAAAAAAAGAAAGAAAGAAAAAAGAAAAATGCACACCAAGACACACTATAGTGAAGCTACTGAACCCCAAACAAAGAGCAGGGAGTGAGATAGAGGTCAATTTCCAAAGGAGCAGTGGCAAGGCAGGCAGTGAACTTGGAGCAACAGGCACACTTCGGGGTGCTCTGGGCAACAAGGCACAGCACCCTCATTCAGTGGAGTACAGCCCTTCATTTCCACTGACCTGTGTTTATACCCAATAGTGCGTAAAGCACAGGCACCAGGGCGGTAACAGAAGGTATTAGAAGAGACAATGTAGGAAGCAGGAGAAAACTTTCAGAATATTCTCAGAGAGAAAAGAAAGAAATGGTGAAACAAGACTCCAGAAGCAGACCAACTTCTCTTTCCCAAAGATGCTAAGGCATTTTAATAAAGAAAAGGTGGTCTCTTCAACAAGGGATGCTGAAAAAAATCTGGAATCCCTATGCGAAAGTATAAACCTCAATACAGACCTTACACCTTACATACTAACTCAAAATGGATAGGAGACCTAAACAAAATGCAAACAATTATAAAACTTTCTGAATAAAACTTAGGAGAAAATCTACACAACCTTAGGTTTGGTAATGAGTTTTTCAATATATACCAACACCATAAACCAGTGGCGGCAAATCTATGGCATACGTTACTGTGTTTTTCTTTTAAGACAAAAGATGTTAATGTACAGGTTGATTTTTCTAAACTAAAACCTCAATATTTAGGTTCAATTGCAGTGTTGGCACTTTGTGTTGAATAAATAGGTTCGGGGTTGTAGTTTGGGCTCTCGGTCTCTAAAAGATTCCCTATCACTGCCATAAACCATGAGAAAAGAGCTGGTGAGTAATATCTTATGGAGGCCTCCCAGCACTGCAGCAGCAGCAGCACCAACTGCTGTGTGAAGACACTGTTGAGAGGATGAGAAGACAAGCCACAGACTGGAAGACATTTGCAAAACATATGCACAATGGAGGACTTGTATCCAAAATCTACAAAGAGCTAAAATTCGACAATAGGAAACCCTAAATGGGCAAGGGACTGGGGTGACCTCCACGGGGGAGCGCTTGATTAGACCCTGGGTCTGAGTCCCAGCAGGGCTGAAGGAAAAGAGAAGGCAAGTTCTGAAAAGACATATCCCCAGGACATAGAGATGGCACACAAGAATATGAAAAATGCTCAACATCACTTTTCTTTAGGGAACTGCAGATTGAGCAGATAATACCTCACATCTATCAGAATGTCTAAAATCCCTCAAAATGACAATACCAAGAGCTGCCAGGATGCCATAGAAAACTCATTTGTTGCTCGTGGGAATGCAAAATGGTTTAGCACTTTAGAAAACAGTCTGGCAGTCTCTTAGGAAACTAAATAGTCTTACTATACAACCCAGTTCCCAGGCTACTAGGCATTTACCCACTTGATTTGAAAATTTATGTAATGTGGTATCTTGGAGCAGAATGTGGGTCTGGGAACAGAGAAGATCTATTAGGGGAAAACTGAGGAAACGTGAACAAAGCTGGACTTTAGTTCATATTGACTTAGTTGGATGTGGTAGTGCACACCTGGAATCTAGGCACTGAGGGAGACTGAGGCAGGAGGATCACAGGACCCTACCTGGGCAATTTAGCGAGATCCCATCTCAAAATAAAAATAAAAAGGGATGGAAATGTAGCTCAGTGACAGAGTGCCCTTGGGTTTGACCCCCTCATACTGCATAAAGAGAAAAGAGCAAATGAATATTGGTTCACTAATCATGACAAATGTACCATAGTAATGTAAGATGTTAAAATTAACCAAATGTGAATATCTGGAAACTCTGTGTTATCTTTGCCATAATTCTGTAAATCTAGAACTACTATCAAATCAAAAATCCAATCATGGTGTGAGAAAATAAAGTTGATCCTCAGCATAAAAAAAAAGGTTGAGAAAATACTCTAGAAAATAGAAAAAGGAATGAAAAATAGGGAGAAGTGATCAGAAAATTAGAGAATAGGGCCAGGGATTTAGCTCAGTGGTTCTGCCGCCTGCCCTGCAAGAGCAAGGATTCAAGTTTGATCCACAGTACAAAAAAAAAAAAAAGAAAGAAAATTAGAGAATACAATGTTATCATGAGATCTGACATTCAACTGGGAGGTCCAGAAAGAAGGGGTGGGGCTGCACATACAGGAGAGGACCAAGGAGCTCTGGAGAGGAACTGGAAAGCAGGAGAGAAGCTGAGACAGGTACAGATTTGGAAACAGGCAACATGCGGCTGCAATGGATGAGCCCACCTAGGAGAACAGAGAGGAGCCCAACATCAGTGGACTAAAGATCCCATGTTCCCAAAGCCACTCTGGGCCTGCAGACAGAGCTCAACAGCAAGACACCTGCCCAGCCCTACAAAAGCAAAGTCAAAGCAACAAAGCTTTGCTCATACTGACATGTACTTCTACAGAAAAATATCCAATGCATTTTATGCACTGTATAAGCACATTTTTACAAATAAGTTAAAAATACTATTAGCAAAAGCAAAGGGAAAAATATGGAAGAACAAAATAAACTGTTAATAATGTTTTATGTCAGAGAACAGGAGTATGCAAACCTCTCAAAGGTACTTTGTATGTCTTTATATATGTCCTACTTTTACAGATAAGCATATATTTTTGTAAACAGGAAAAATAACTGTTCTTTTCCTTATAGTATGTCTCCTTACAACATAAAAGATAATAAAAACCTATAACATCTACAAGGCCAGTCAGATCATGTAAAAGTGTTCAATGCACATCTGTTCGCTACTACATTGAAAGGTAAAGTTTTTGTTTTTTAATAAGAAAACTACTCAATGTTGGCAAGGATGTGATTTTTAAAGGCATCTCAAGACAACAGAAAATAAACCGATATAACTTCTCACATTGAAAACAATGCGACAATATGTAAGAGTGGCCTTAAAAAGATTTCTAATATTTGCTCTAGTAATTCTCTTTTTGGAAATTTAAGAAAATAATTCAAAACCACTGAAAATAAGCATGCAAAGGTATTTTACCAAATCATTGGGTGAAAAAAAATCTAAATATCAACATTGGGACACAACAGAAAATTATACAGGCACCAAAAGTAGCATTTATGTCTATGGTCTATCAAAATACAAATGAAACAAAATAAAATAAAATGACACAGTCTCTGATCTAACATTAGAGAAACAATAGCATCCGGGCAGAACATAAGCCAAAGAACTTTCAATGTGGCAATGCTTCTCACAGTGTAAGTGTAAACAGCACGTTAATTTGAGAATGTTGAATCAGCTCCTCAGACTGTAGTTGGGGGACCCCTGGAAAGCTCTCAAGAGCAATTCAGGTCCCCAGGACCTCGCTCCAACTATACAGCCATGCAAAGGTGGGTTTTCCTTACATGTGCCAACCTCAACACAACAGCAGCCCAGACTGAACAGAAGAGCAAAAAGGACAATTCAGCTGTTTTCTACAAAGCCAGACAATAAAGTGATTTGCCTAAATGTAAAACAATGCCACCCTTACCCTTAAATTTTGCTTTTTAAGATATGGTTATTTTTTAGTGAAAAAGTATTTATATTTGTAGGAAAATGGGTGGATTTTGAGACCATAATACTAAGTGAAATAAATCAAAGAAGATTAAATATCACATGGTTTCTCTGAGCGATCTGATGCATAATTGAAAGAGCAAAATAAAAGAGCCGTGGTAGGAAACGTCGTAGACTCTGAAGAGGAAAGGCACCCGGTGAAGAAGGGAGTGGGGAGGGAAAAGGACCAGATGCCGGATGTGTATGTACAATTCTCCAAGATGAATGTTATTATTATGTACCACAAACATGCACTAATTAAAAAGTAATTTTTAAAAGTTTGGCAGTTTCTTTTAAATTGAATATGTGCTTACATATAAAAATGCATTCAATATTTAGTGGGTTTATCATTTTTTTGGTACTGGGGATCGAAATCCGGTCCTTACGCTTGCGCAGAAGACGGTGAAACCACTGAGCTAAATCCCCGGCCCTATCATTATTTTTAATTTGCTGAGTTTTATTTCCAAAATGGTAAATATGCTTCATTAGGGAATAGAAATTCTTTTGCTCTCAATAGTTTTTAAAATGATTATCCTCAATCATAAAGTTTAACGAAGTGCATTATCACAGTATACAACACTATGATTAGGTATAATAATTGAATGGGAATTTAGCTTTATCGGTAGTGTAACTATTTCAAAAGATTTTTGTTCATGTACTACTTGTATAATAAAAAAACAACAAAGGTAGGTTTGAGGATTTTAAAAACAGGGAAAACAAACCCTTCAACTGTATGTACATAAGAGCTTATCAACTTAATTAAGAACATGCTCCAGCTAGTCAGGAAGCGGAGGCAGAAGGATCACAAGGTGAAAGCCACTCGGGCAACTTAGCCAACACTGTCTCAAAAAATAAAAAGGACTGAGTGTGTGGGAGGCAAAGAAAGGGAAGCAAGAAAGAGAAAACGAAGGGAGAAAAACTAAGATACTAGCAGCGGTTGATTACATGCTGGAATTATGACTACTCTTCCTTATTCCTTCCTATAATTTTCATCTTTTACCACTATGTAATTTAATATGGGGGGATTAATTCTATTGGATCAAACCATTAAGCTTCTACCAACAAGGCAAGTTCCAATGAATAAATGATAACCTATCAGATCAACAAATTAATCTTTAAACGTAAAGATTAATTTAGCATGAAACTTGGGGCCTGGCCTCTCACAACGACGAGCACAGCACAGTGTGCAATACTCGCACCTGCAGGCCCCGGCCCCCGGGGTGGGCAGCTCTGAGTCTAGGCCCCCACCTTACGGGGGGGGGAGGGGGGAGGGGAGCGCCTCCACCTGGGAAAGCTCCGCAGCTCTGAGGCCCCGCCCCTGCCTCCCGGCCCCGCCCCCGTCCCGAGCTCGGACCCCGCCCCCGCGAGCGCCCCCCGCGGTCCGGCTCGGCCCAGGCTAGTCCAGCAGCCGCCGCGGCCAGAGGCGACTGGGTCACTGAGGCCGGCGGGTTTCGCGGCCGCTCGCTAGCCGCCAGGGCAGTGGGCTGAGGAGAGGCCAGACGGCAGCCCTGGGCGTACGGGGGCTCTTACCTCCCCACACCCCTGCTGGGGGAACTCGACAGGACGCCGCGCTGAGGGATGAAGAGCTACCCAGGCCGGCGTCCCCGCAGTGCACGACGTCGACTCCGGCCGGCGCCCTCCGGCCGGGCCGAACACCGCGCAGGCGCAGAGGCGGCGGGCGCACACGCCCCCTCCCTGGGCTTCCGCGGCCTCGGCGCCTGCGCACTGCCGATGGTCTGGGCCGGAAGCGCGGCCCGTTCTGTGGCATTGGGGCTGCCCGGAGGTTCCGGCTGCGCGGGGGCTGCTTTCCACGCACCGCGCTGTCCCCGGACGCCGGGCCTGCGCCCTCTCTGGGCGCCGATGTTGTCTCCGCCGCCCGCAGCTTCCCCCCACCCCGCAGCCACTCCGCCCTGCCCGTGCAGCTGGTTTCTCCGAGGGTCGAGGCTCGGGCGCTGCAGCGCCCGCCCCACGCTCTCGCCCGGCGGCGACGCAGCGCTCCGGACCGAGCAGTTCCGACCTCCGGGCCCGACCCATCCCGGCGCCGCCCGGCCTCTGAGCTCTGTTTACCACGGGCGTCTGTGTGCCCGCCACCTCGCGGTGCCGATGCAGTTCTCTGTAGGAATAGAGATCTGCGAGGGGTCGGGGCATCAGATGGGCAGTAGTAGCCAGAAGGTTTTAACAGCTCAAAATTCATTTTCTGAAGTGTGGCTTTTGCAGTACCTAATGATTGCATTCTTCGTGTAGAGCTGGTACATGTACATAACACGTCTTAATTCTTCTGGGTCGCTTTCCCCTCCCCTCCTTCCCTCCATCCTTTGGCCCGCTTCCCATTTGCAGAAGATCTATCTCCCTCTTTCCTATTACCTCACTGGTCTTTCGGGAATCTCAAGAGTTACAATACAGGAGTATTCCACTCCTAGGATTTAGAGGCGAAAGATTTCAAAATCAAGTCTCACATCCTAAATCTGTTTACTACAATGTTTCGAGATCTTTCAAAGGTATTTAATCCCTGATCTTGATTTTCTTGAACTCTGAATAGAATTCGGTGGTTTTCATTATAATTTGAGCATCTTCTCTGTGACTGCATTATGTGCTTTGCTTACGTTATCTTATTTAGTCCTAAGGCTCATTCTACAAAGGACGGTATGCATTTTCTCTATTTTGTGTTAGGTACAGTTCACAGATACAATTGGGGGGGGGGTCCACTGCCCTTAGGGAACCGTACAAATGCTTGTTAGTACACATATAGTACAGGACGAGGACAGAGACTAGAAATAGGCAAGTACAACATTAACATCTTAAGTAGACAAATGGAAAATATGTTAATAGTCAATTCACAAAATTCAAAGCTGAAATGAATATCATGTTTTATTAATAACAAAGATAAGAGATACTATTCCAATAGATCTACTTAGTTTATAAGAAACACACCTAACTCAAAAAGAAATTCAGACTGAAGTAAAAGGCCAAACAAGAATCTTTAGCTCAGAAGTGACTGAAGATTCTTTGCATAACAGTCAATAGCTGAAATTTAGAGGGGAGAAGTGCTGAGAGAAGCAAACGAGGAGTAAAGGCCTGGAATAGAAAAGTGCCTAGGTAGGAGGTGAATGAAGAAGCGAAAGAGAAAGAAAGAGACTGAGGAAACATCATGCCCTGGTATGAATGTCTGTACCCTTCCGGACTTCGTGTCGGAACCCCCTACTCTCCATGGTGATGCCACGAAGTGGTGGGGTCTTCAGGTGGTGCTGAGGGTTCGGAGGCTCTGCTCTCATGGATGGGACCAGTGCCCACGTAAACAGGAGTGAATCTGTCCCTCTCTGTCCTTCCTTTGACCGTGCGAGTGTTGCGGCAGAGCAGAGCAGCTCAGTGTTGCAGCCAAGTGCCACAGCTCTGAGGCGCAGCTGAGCTGTACAGCCCAGTGAGGCAACTCTGGATCACAGCTCTCATAATCTGAAGACTCAAAAAGTTTATGGCCAGTTGAAGAGGTGGAGAAAATCCTCTATTACACAGGAAAGCACCGGCAGGCTCAGAAGAGTCCGAGAGCTCTACCAGAAATGAAGAGTCTCCTTATATAGGGACCTACAGGGTAGCGAGCATGCTCAGTGAAGCAGAGGGGGCGGAGTTACAGAACATTCCTGAGAGGGGGCGGAGCGTAACAACCTTCTTGTGAGGGGGCGGAGCTCAACAGAACCTCCCTGAAAGGTCGTAGTTCAAACAGTCCCAAACCACTTAGATACACTGGGCGGGAGCCACTGCCCAGCAGCACAAACGTACATTTCCAGAACAAAACATTCCGTGGTTAGAAAAGGGAGGCCAGGCAAGGGCCTGTCTTACTGTATAGCACTTCTCTATCGTGAGAACAGTGTCCACCCTCTCCAAAGGACATGGCAACCAGGCGCCATCTTGGAAGCCTTGGAAGCAGACAGTGAGCCTTCCCCTGACACTAGGCTGCTGGCAACTCCACCTCAGACTGAGGCGTTCTATTATAGGAGCAGGAATGGGCAAAGACACACAGTGACTCTGAAAGGGCTTTGGGAGAAAGAAGCGACCATTTGGTGTCATGGAAGATCTAAGAGACAGTCACATGGTTTGACAAAGAAGACAGTCATGATGATTTCCAAGGGAGAAATTTTAGTAGAAGAGGAAGGGAACTGAAACCGGATTATAAAAAGCTAGCAGAAGGCCACTGAGGTTTGCTGAACTGCCGTGCTGGACACGTAGACCTTTGGTATAATACACCCAATTAGACATTTAACAAAGTAGGGAGCCCTAAACAAAATGCCTGGCAGGATAATAAAATAAAATGGAAGCTTCACACCAGAAAGCTTGGCTTCCCTGACAACCACTTCTCAATTTGAAATTAAATCTGCCAAAACTAAGCTAGAGAGAGAGCTGCATCACCAGGATTTGTCATGGAAGTGGTGACAACACATGGCTTTGGGGTCAGATAGGTTTGTTTTGATCCCAGGTATGGAGTCTACTCTTTGTAGCTAACTTCCCAGAGCCTTAGTTCAGATCTGTGGTTCTCCACTGCAAGGCTTGTAGGAGGAACTTCAGCAGAGAAGAAGGGTTCAGTAAATACTGAAGTGGCTACTGTTATTACTGACCGGGTCACTGGTCTCCAACAAATGATCCCACTTCCTAAAATATAAACTGAGAAATAAGCCTCGTAATGTCAATTTAAGCAGGTTAAGTTGTCTGTGTAGACTAAGAAGCTTTTCTCTAAGATACTGTGTCCTAGAGGGATGAGTAGAACCCCCAAAACCATACTTTTCCATACTTGAAGTTTTGCAACTGAAAGTTAAAATCAGGAGCAGAGCAATTCTGGTGAGGATGGTCTGCTTGCATGTCCTGGATCTTTTTGTTTGTACCGGGGATTGAACTCAGGTCCTTGTGCTTGTGGGGCAGGTGGCAGAACCACTGAGCTAAATCCTCAGCCCTTGTCCTGGATCTTGTACCTACACAACATGCACAAGACTACAACCTCGATTTCCTCTTTCTTCCCTTGTTCGACTCCTCATATTCAAACACGACCCATGGTGGTCACCGTGCTCCTGGGCTTGCTCCCCGAACCTGTCCTGTTGCCAAGTCCTGCCTCTCCTGACTCTCCTCACCACCTGGCCTGCACCTGCACCCCTGCCTGTGTCACCTGAGCCTGCAGCTGCTGCTCCTGCCTCTGCCACCTGCTCTCCATGCAGAAGCCAGGTCACCCCAGACAGATGAGCAGGGCTCATGTCCATCTGAAGCCCGCCAAGGGTGCAATGTATACTTTAAAGCCTTCATTTCCCAGAGACTTAATCGATTGCTCCACCCCCAATTATGAAATAATCCTCCTCCTTGCCACTGGGCGTGTCTGTGAACACACGTGGTTATATACTTTAGAATACGTTTGTGGGATACCTGTTTCAATCCTTTCATTTACCATGCTGCTGAAACTGATAAAGATTTACAGATTTTTATACTTGTAATATTTGGTTGGGCTTAGTCACCTTATTCCAGGGAAACTTTCATGTTGCACTTTCACCTGACCAGATTTCGGTTTTCAATGTCAATTGAATACCTGTCTGTTTAGCAGGGACACAAAATGCAGGGGTTGCACTGATTACTGTGGCCCCTGATGTGATCTGATCTACGTAGCGACAGTCTAACTGCTAGCAACCTGTAATTCACATAATCACTATCCCGTGCCTATAGCCACGTTCTCATAGAACATCAAAAGTCTGTTACCTCATTTTCTATAAAGCTAACACAGAATTAAAAGTGTGGAGCCTAATATTTAGCATCAAAATCATGAAGATGACTCACAAGTGCCTACCTGCCCGTGTTCTGCATAAATTCTGCACAATCACTGTGATAAGCCGGGTGTGGTGGCATATGTGTGTGACCCCAGCACTTGGGTAGCTGAGGCAAGTTCGAAGCCAGCCTGGGCTACACAGTGAATTCAAGGCCAGCCTTCACTATATAGCGAGACCCTGCCTCAAAACAAACAATCACTTTGAAAAGAAGAAGAGTTATAAAGTAACATATTTCTTATGTACTTTGGCCAAGATATAAATGCCCGGCAAAGTACCTTTATTACAGTTTTCTAAGTTGAAGTTAAAAAATAACTATTATCCCTAAATTTTGCATAGTAAGTTAGAAAAGAAAATTAAAGAAATAACAATTCAAATGTCAGTTGCTTCTAGTCAACAATTGATTATTGTCATTTCTTAAGGAAACATCCTTACAAATTCTATTCTTCCCTTAGCAATCCAAGGTTTCGTCTATTTAATATTTACGTTTTAATATTAAATTAACTTAATATTTAACTTAAATATTAAAATTTAAGTTTTTTTTGTTTTTTCCAAATCATGAAATGTCCAGAATTTTAGAATGTGGCCAGATAAACACTTTGTATAACTCTGTGTGTGTGTGTGTGTGTGTGTGTGTGTTATTGTGTGTTATTGGGGATTGAACTCAGGGCCTTCACATTGAACTACATTCTTAGCCCTTTTTATTTTTTATTTTGAGACAGGTTCTCCCTAAGTTGCTGGCCTCAAACTTGCCATCCTCCTGTCTCAGCTTCAGCCTTATAAATATAGTTCCAAACAGAATCTTTTTATATACCATATTAATATACTATGTCTTTTGTAGAATGTTTTCTCATAAGTTTTGATTACTAAGCTAATCCTGAAATTTG